TGTCTGCAGCCACTTAATGCTGTAATGTCTTCACATTTTGCTTATTTATCGATTTTTTATGTACAGATAGGGAGTTCAAAGGCGTAAGCCTATTCCCCTCAAATACACTGACTGACTGAGGTTGGCAGTCAAAGTGTTAGGTAATTGTGTGTTAGTAATTGGGAGTTGTCTCCATCATAGGGGATCGCTGTTCTACGGTTGACGGTAAATAAACTACTCAGGGTTTGGCTACAACTGAGATCAAAGGTTACATACAACTGTTGCATTTTGTATGAGTGCTTCACTAAAATGTGCGCTTCGGAATTTTTTTCAAATTTTAAATCTTTGAGAGATTCACTTTCTTTGGAATTTCACTCCACTGGCCGCTTCTACAACTTGTTGTTTGTAAGAATTGGACTTAAAACGACAATATCCTCGCCTTCACAAATTTAGAAGGAGATTTAACCGGAAGAACAAATCCCTTCTGACCGCTCCTCTGTTAACGGCTCGACGGACTTCTCCAAATCTACAAACGGCAGAGTCGTTCCGCTATTTATTCCATAGAGTCGACCGGGGTAAAATACTTCGTCCGGTACTATTGAGCACGTTGCACATCTGTTGAACTAATAATGGGAGTCGACAAAACGCCCTCAGATCAATATGCGAAAAACCTGCCATGAGTAAGTATTAAACCCAGGCACCTCCGCGGCGTGGCCGACGAGGTTGCCACTAAAGTGTCGGTGTACGGTTCACGGGCTGAAATAAATGAACTTTAGTCGTAGTAAAAATAGCCGCTATTCTGTACATTTCGCTTTCAGGTCGGCACCCGCCAAATGGGCAGGGAGTTGAATAAGCTGGATTAATGTCAAATACCAAGAAAAAGCAGGTACGACTTGCGCCGGACTCCTTCAAAAATGTTTAAAAACGGAAATGCATTAAGGGCCCAAAATATAGAATGAGAAGTTCGGAGATCACGCTCGCTATGTGTACAGAGAGAAAAAAAGAACATACACAAACACGGCTTCTCCGGCTATGTTAACCGAGGAGGAAGGAAACAATGATTCTGTGGGGTTCGGTGTGAATGAAAGTCATTATCTTGTACGAGAAAGGGGTGACCAGATGGGACAGCAGGGAGCAAAAATGTCTCAGAGCATCTCGAAGTGACACTGACGGTCAGATAAAGAAACAAAAATTGGGTACACCGCAAAGGAAAAGTGTGCCGCTGAAGATGGTGAATGACCAAAAGATAGTAGTAAGCGCCGAGTCATACATTTGCTCTGCCGGACCAAACCTTCCCAAATCAGAGAATGGCGGTAGCCGGGATGTCCGCAAGAATAAATCATAAGGCCCTCAGGTTGTTCGCAGCAAATGCATTGTCGTAAAGGATATGCCTGAGTCTGCACCTGACATCCCAAAGGATAGAATGGAGCATGACATGGAAATATTCTATCAATATCTCAAATCGCTCCTAAGAGGAGACGTTAGAGTCACCGGATTAAAGGCTTTCAGGATGGGCGGAATAAAAGACTGGAGAGATGAGTCACACCGACTAAGACCGCTAAAAATAGTCTTCAAGAATAAATAAACAAACGCAGCCACTGTTGAACAGGAAATTTACGCACTAAATTCCGATCAAACAGTTGTTAATGGGATTTTCATCCGCAGAGAGAGAGAGAGAGAGAAATGGGGAAGGTCCAAAACGAAAGTACTCAGAAGCTCCAGTCTGGGCGAGAAAAATCTCAAAATACTGAACGGGAAAATGTACATGTCCACAGGTCATTTCTCTGGAGAACGCCTATAGCCCTAACAACTTAGGTGGGATGGACAGCGATCCATCTTGATCATCCAGTCCAATCAAACAGCAGTAGACTCGCAAGGGGACGATAGACCGGAAAACTCGCACGAAATGACCAGCACCTTTGACCCAAAAATCGTTCGGGAATCTGCCGGGCTAAGCTCCGCTTTCTTTATGCAAATGCTCAGAGTTTGTTCCAGAAGCTAGATGAACTGAAAGTGTGGATAACGGATAGGCAGCCGGATGTCATTTCTATCACAGAGACTTGGTTCCAGACCGAAGTCTTGGATGCCGAAATTACACTCGATGGATACCAAATTTTTCGCCGGAACAGACTGCATAAAAAAGAAGGAGGAATAGCAATCTACGTCAAGAGAGGAATAATCGCGTCGGAACACAAAACCGATTACTCCCGCGACTGTGAAGCAATTTGGTTAAAACTGCTGATGCGTGGCTCACCTAATTTGAATTTCCTGACCGTATATAGGCCGCCCAATCAAACTGCTGAGGTTGACGAGGCGATGTTTGGGTTAATTAAGGAGGTGTCATAAAACCAAGAGGTACTGATAACCGGAGACTTCAACGCACCCATGGTCGACTGGAAAAATTTATTAGTAAATGGTTCGCGAAGTTCCTTTGATTCCAGGCTCTTGAAGCTAACGGCTAATCTCTTTCTGGTACAAAACGTCAGGTTCCCAACCAGGATCAGGGAGGATCGAAGAGCAAATTGTCTGGACCTCGTCCTTACAAAAGACCCAATTAGCCCTGACGAACTTAGGTCTATAACACCGCTGGGTAGGAGTGACCATGTCATGCTGTTTTGGGAATACCGCCTATGCGGCCAACGAGTGAATACGACTGAGCCTCGGCTGAATTTCTGGCGAGGCGATTTTGCCGCCATGAGAAGGGAATTATCGGCAGTGGACTGGAATGATGCTTTTTCCGGACATCCGGACGTTGATTGGAATACTCTCAAAGGAGTTGTAACAGACGTCATGCATCGGAACTGTCCAACAAAGAGAGTCGAAAAGAAAATTCGTCCTGCCTGGATAACGCGGGATATAAAGAAAGAAGTAAACCGGAAGAACAAACTATGGAGAAGGTATGCAGCAAAAAAAACAATCATCGCATTACGAGCAGTTTCGTCGAAAGCGAAACGAGGTAAGATCGGCTATTCGCAGGTCGCGGAAGAAGTATGAAACGCGAGTTATGGAACGGGCCGTCGATAAACCAAAAGTGCTCTTCAGTTACATCAACAGCAGGTTAAAGAACAAGGAGACGGTCTTAGTGTTGAAAGGAGAAAACAATGAGGATATAATCGAAAATGACGCTAAGGCAGAAAATCTAAGCCGGTTATTCGTATCTGTTTTCACCGAGGAAACGGACTTTGACGAGGCTGGATTGCCTGCTGGGACAACCAGCGAAATAACAGAAAACATCGACTTCACAGAAGAAGATGTGAGGAAGGAACTTCTAGCGCTTAAGGAGGGTAAGTCTCCGGGTCCCGACCAAATTCCAGCAAACGTTCTGAAGGAGTTGGCTTGCGAACTCGCCAGACTGCTTTTGCACATCTTCAGGTCGTTCTTTGACCGGGGCATTCTCCCCTCTGATTGGAAAGTGGCGAGCATATACCCCATTCACAAGGGTGGATCTAGAACAAGTACAAACAATTATCGGCCGGTGAGCCTAACGTGCATTTATTGCAAAGTCATGGAGAGAATAGTCAAAAAATCCATAATGAAGTTCCTTGAAGAAAATAATTTCATTGCTAGTTCCCAACATGGCTTTCGACGAAATCACTCCTACGTAACTAATATGCTTTATTCAACGGAACAGTGGTCTCGCTCGTTAGACACAGGAACAAAGGTTGATATCGTTTACATCGATTTCAAGAAAGTCTTTGATAGTGTTCCACACCACCGGTTACTTTACAAAGTCCGAGGGTCATGGATAAGGGGAAACCTATTAAACTGGGCAAAAGACTTTCTGACTGGTCGATTACAATCTGTGTGGATTGGTAGTGCGAAATCAACGCCAGTTCCAGTTGTGAGTGAAGTTCCCCAGGGCTCTGTACTCGGACCAGTACTATTTTTAATTTATGTCAACGACTGTATGAATTGACTGGACTGCAATGGAGTCATGTTTGCCGATGACATCAACTTATGGCGAGCGATCAACGGGGAAAATGATGAACGGGCCCTGCAAGAAGGACTGAAGCGCCTATGCGAATGGTCTGATAAATGGCAGTTGAAGTTTAACCTTGAGAAGTGCGTCGCTTTGCGACTCAAAACAGCTGGAAGAGCCGACGGAGAGGATCACCAATATCTGCTTGGTGGAAGGTGCCTTTCAAATGTGACCGAACAAAAAGATCTTGGGATCAACATTTTTTCGACTCTTAAGCATTCCTCTCAGTGCGTTAGGGCGGCCGAAACGGTAACCAGTGTTCTCCTTGCCATTAAACGAACTTTCGTAGACATGGACAAAGAGTTATTTAGAAAAGTATACGGAGCGTTCATTCGTTTGTACCTGGAATATGGAATTCAAGCGTGGCGCCCGTGGCTAGAAAAGACTATGAATTGCTAGAAAGAGTGCATAGGAGAGCGACAAAAATTGTGAAAGGCCTCAGGACTTTACCTTACAACTGCCGACTTAGTGAACTTAAACTCTTTCCTCTTGAGTACAGGCAGGTTCGAGGTGATCTCATACAGGCGTATCGGATAATGAGGAACTGGGACTGTGCCTACACCTGGACGATTTCTTCCCCCTGGCCACAACAACAAACCTGCGTGGGAACTCCCTAAAACTCAGAGGATCCCGATGCCGCCTGGACGTCCGAAGATACTGTTTTTCACAGCGAGTCGTTGGTGCCTGGAACGGGCTTCCCGAGGACGTAATAATGGCGAATACCACGGAGATGTTCAAGCAAAGACTAGAGGTATATTTGCTTGGACGATGCCGTTTGTCTGGACAGAACAGCTCAGTGGTGCCAAACCAACGCCTTGCATACACCTACCGTTAATGCGGATGACTATAATTCCATTTTACCGATATCATCTACAACTGAATGTGTTTGAGTTTCGGTCCTGCATTTTCAATGGAAAATATTCTGTTATGTGTTTATATTACTGACAACATTTGAGTACCGTGTTTATTTAATGTGCATATTGCATGCACATAGGGGAATTCCAGTTTCTTTAAGAAATGTTTTCCTCCACAATCGCCTTTCAATGCGTCCAACACCATGGCCCCAAATATGACGTGTTTCCAACTACCCCCCAGATATCACATCAAAGAGGTTGAGCCGAATATGCCGACATTGCCGTCTTTGAATAGGATCCCTGTCTCAACGGAAGTAGTGCGCCCCCCATCTCCCCAACGTGTTTCCTCCACGGCCATTTCAGCAATGCATTCCCCATGCTAATGTCCATACAGGGTCAGTTAACTCTCCTCTTCCTCAATTTTGCTCCGGCGGGAATACTTTGCAGTATCGGGCCCTTGGATTTCCAGCAGAACATCAGCCAGCTAACAATAGTAATTTCCCTGCCCGTCATTTCCTCCCCCAAATCGTACTCCCCTTTGTCCACGTCAGGGTCTTCTGATGCCGAAAAACTTCCGCAGAACTGGACAGGCGCATCCGGACCATTTGTTCCGTGAGCAACCAATCACTGGAAGACGTAGCTTCCCTTCCCCAGAAACAAACAATCTTTCTCCTCAAACTTTTTGTTCTTAATGTAAGAACTTTCCTAAATAAGATACCTTCGCTTCAGAATCTGGTGTTCGCCCATTGCCCAGATATTATTTTAGCAAATGAGACATGGGCATCAGCTTCCGTAAATGACCTTGAAATCCTTCTTCTAGGCTATACTTATATTCGAAATGATCGTCAAGAGAGCCGTGGTGGGGACAGTTGCATCTATGTTAAGCAAACACTTTCATTTCTGCAGCTTGACATCCTGCATTTTCCCGCTGTAGAAGGCAGGTACTGGCTCCAAGTTGCACTGAAAAATCAGTTCTCTTTACTCGTTGGCTGTGTCTATCGCCCTCTAAACGCCAATGACAACTTAGATCGCATACTCTCACTGGCCTTTCATGCTGCGGCCGACTTAGGCTCTAAGTATCAATTGGTTGCGGATGACTTAGAACTTCCCAAAGTCCGCTGGTCTCCGCCTTCCGACCCCAGAATGTTCGATGAATTTCTTGAGGCTGTGGATGTTGGGATGTAGAGTCAGGTTGTCAGTTTTTCTACCCGGAAATCAAGCATACTTGACCTAATTCTCTATAGAAATTGCATGCCTTTGTCCTTGTTACCAAAGCCCTATTATATGTCCTGTAAATAATTCATGCGTGAATCACCCTAAGTCATTTATCCCCAAACCTAGTTCAGTCTACCCACAACTTAAGGCCAACTGCTCTCAGGTAGGTCAACCTAACACTTTGACTGCCAACCTCAGTCAGTCAGTGTATTTGAGGGGAATAGGCTTACGCCTTTGAACTCCCTATCTGTACATAAAAAATCGATAAATAAGCAAAATGTGAAGACATTACAGCATTAAGTGGCTGCAGACATTGATTCACATATGTCATTTGTCTCATGGCTAAAAAGTCACATAATCCGCTTGTTGCTGCAGCATCTGTCTGTCAAGCCGGCATTTAAATGTCGCCACAGATTGAGGCATGACAACCGTCTCGGGCAGGTTTTTCCACGGTTCCATGACACGCTTGGAGAAGAAATATTTTCTCACATTCAATCATCCCTGGGGCACACGTAGTTTAAAGGGATGTCCCCGGAGGTTAGTTGTTGTGGCGAGTTGGAAAAAGTCATCGCACCGAAGGGCGCAGTCCAAGCCACGCACGATACGGAAAGTTTGTATTAAGTCTCCGCGCAACTGCCTATAACTCAGAGGATAGAGATTAAGGTTAGTTAAGCGAATCTCGTATGGCAGTGCACTTTGACGTCTTATTAGTTTTGTTGCTCGCCTCTGCACCCTTTCGAGCAGATTGTAATCCTGATGCGTCCATGGTCTCCCGGCCTGAATTGCATATTCGAGATGCGGCCTTACAAACGTGCCGAAGGCTTTGGAAAAGCAGTCTTCATCGAAAACTGCGAATGTCCGCTTGATGACATAAAGCATTGAAGTTGCGGCCCTGGCCGCCTTACAACATTGTGTAGAAGGCTTTAGGCTGTCTGCAACCGAGACTCCGAGATCTTTCTGCGTTTCTACATCTCGAAGTGGTATTCCGTTCAGATGGTATTGCCGCGTACTAGGGGTCTTATTGCCGAGGCGCAGTATGGTACATTTGTTCAAATTGAAGGATAAGAGCCATCTGCGGGACCACTCGTCCAATCGACAAAGATTGTCTCATCGGCAGCATTCTGGATGACTTTCCAGATTTTTATGTCATCTGCAAACATGGCACTATCACAGTCCAACCAATCTACACAATAATTGATGAACAAGAGAAAGAGGGTTGGTCCGAGCACCGAGCCTTGTGGGACTCTACTCTCTATGAATGTGTGCCTTGATTGCTGTCTCTCTACGCAGACAAGTTGGTGGCGGCCGACGAGGAAGGTTTCGATCCATTTGAGAAGTTTGCCGCCGATGCCCATTATTCTCAACTTGTGCAGGAGACGCTGGTGCGGAACACTGTCGAATGCCATCCGGAAATCAATATAGGCCACGTGCACAGTGTGTTTTGCGTCCAGTGCTCTTGTCCAACTTTGCATTGTATATAGCAAGTTCGTTACACATGATCTTCCCCTACGGAAACCATATTGTGCATTGGACAAGAGGTTGTGGCTTTCCAGATAAGCCATCAACTCCTTTTTATGGTTTTCTCCATCACTTTGCAACAGATTGATGTCAGACTGACGGGTCTGTAGTTCGTTGCAAGAGCACAATTACCGCCTTTGTAAAGGGGTGTAATGTGGGTCGTATTCCAGTCTGTGGGAAGGATTCCAGCATCGAACGATTCCTGGCACAGAAAAGATAGTGGTTTGGCCAGCTCTCGGACAAGTTCGAAAAGCAGCTTTGCTTGGATCTCGTCCGGACCGGGAGATTTACATTCCTCCAAGCTTTTTAGTTCTTCCAAAATCGTTGCCTCTCGAAACACGATATCTTCGATAGTGGTATCTTCCATGTTCGCTGAACTAGTTGGAATAAAGTCTGCTTCTCTTGTGAAACCTAAGCCTGGCTTCCCACCCTTTTATTAGTATAGCTGCCTACACTCCCCCACCAGCCTCCACCTTAATACTAGGCACCCTTCTCCTCCCCCTCCTCCACAATTAAACTACCAACAAGCCTATCCCTGTTCTAACTCTCCTGGTATTCCAATCCTCGGATACTATATCCCCACATCCTTTAGGTCTCCTGCTCAGCCTTCTCTTGCTGACACTCCGTACGTCAATAACTCCAGATTAACTGGTACGTATTCTCCAAGCGTCATTAATTTACAGCCTATATACCCGTCTCCAATTTTTTTCTAAATACCGTCGACAATACCGTTGCCGTTCGAAATACATCAGACATTATATTATTGAATGCCAGGTCTGCGATAAACAAGATGGCCCAAATCAAAACCACTGCTCTCGAAATGACGCTTGATGTTACCTGTATAACAGAATCTTGGATCCATTCTCTTATTCCTGACTCTGCCCTTCTCATATATGACTTTGATTTTTACCGTCAAGACCGCACGACTGGACGTGGGGGCGGTTGCCTTCTTTATCTTAGACCCTATCTAAAGCACTCTTCCTATTACTTGGATGTTTCCTCATTCACGGGAAACTTCTGCTTTACATCTGTTATTCTCTGGCCGCAAACAAAGGCAATTATTGACTGTATCTACAATCCCCCAAACTCTTCAGCCAGTGATGATTGACAACTCTGTGAAATCTTTCACTTAATTTCGGGAACTGCTTTCGATGTTAAAATAATCACTGGGGATTTCAAATTTCCCGAAATAAACTGCGTTTTCAATATCTGTTCACCTAGATTCCAGTCCTTCCACGATATTGTCAATTTTTCTAACTGGTTCCAACTGGTGCGCTCTCCAACAAGAGATAATCACATTTTAGATATTGTCTTTACCAATGGCATTGCCCCTCAATTTATTGGTTTCAAAAAGGCCTTTTGATAGTGACCAAGTATTTATTCATTGTTGTTTACCACTCACCTTTTCAAAAAAGACCAGCACAGTTCGGACTTAACTAAATAAGGATTGCGTGGGCAACGACTCAATAAATAAATATATCAGATCATTGTATTGATGTGGCTTTCTCTCCTATAGCGATGCAAACATGTTTCGTGACGTCACCCCCAATGTTTCCAGGGACATCCTAAAGTCTGTGCAGTGTAGATATCTCAAGTCTTATTCTTCGGATTCCATGGTCCCCTATTTTTTTCGTAACAGACTGAAACGTTGACACGGCAGCTGCGTGACCTATGCACTAGTTCCTTATCAGTTCATCTTACAATCACAGAGATTTTTGAAATGTCCTCAAGGATGCGCTAAGCGCCCGAGCGACAAAGAGAATCACTTACTTTCTGCGATTCGAACCCTACCAAATCCGTTGCTAACATCTTCCGTCATCAGTCCCCCTTTAAGCGTGGTCACGACATTCCACCCCTGCTAAACGATAACCAAATCTTCCTCATCGATGGCATTGACAAGTCAGAGTTGTTTAGTGCCTTCTCTGTAAAACACCTTACCAGTCCCATTCTTTCGTTCGTTTTCAGATAGGACACTGAGTACAATCTCTGTCTCCTCAGATCTTCTTAACAAACGCATAAGTCGTTAAAATACTCACATTGCTTGTGAAAGGGCAGGATTCCAAACTCGATAATTAAACAGGCATCCGACCTTCCCATATTGCTTAGTAATTTATTCTCGGTTTATAGTTCGAACGGATTTTTCAATGAAACAGGGAAAACGTCAGTTCCCATTTCTGTCTTCAAGTCTGGATCTCGGTCAGATGTTTATAACTATCGAGGCGTGCACAAAACAGCGTCCCTAACATAACTTCTTAAGAGAATAATTTCCAGTGAATTTCTCGACTTCTGTCTAGCTAATCGGCTTCTGAGCTCTAATCAGCATGGAATTTTGCCTGAACAGTCCTGCGAAACTCGCCATTTGGCATTTCTCAAGCTAACCACTTCTCTTCGTAATGAACAGTAGTCAGTGATAGTTATCTACTTTGATCCCAGCGAAGTCTTCGACAAGAGGCCACATAGGCGTCTTTTAGTAAAATTGGAAGCTCTCGAAATCAGGTTGCATCTTCTCAACTAAATCAGGTCCTATCTATCCAACCGATATCAGAAAGCCATGGTAGGTAATAATTAATCGAACCTCACTCGATCTTGAGCGGCGTACGTCAAGGCACAGTTCTGTATCCGCTACTCCTCCTTCATTGCATAACTGCTATATCTACGAAAATAAAAAATTCGAAAACTTTTATTTATGCCGATGACTTCAAGTGTGTTTTCTCATATTATAAGGACACCCCAAAGGTTTGTGTTGAAAAAATTAACGCCGATTCACAACGCTTAAGCAGAGGGGGTTCAACATGGCAGATGGAGTTTTCATCAACCAAGTACATTTTCTTGTCTTTTGGTCATGCCAAACTCCCTGCAACCATAATTTTTCAGAATAACATAAAATACATAAAGGACCTAGGTTTAATTTATACAAATAAACTTGCTTTATCACCTTATGCAGATAGAATCTCTGCCAAAGCCGCGCTGATATGTGGATTCATATCGCATATTTTCTTCCTTCCGGGAATGAAACTAAGACTTTATCAAATGTTTGCTCATTCTGTCCTCGAATACTGCTGTCCTTTCTTTGGTTCAATGAACGTCTGTGACCGTAATGATATCGAAAATGTTCAGAAGGTTTTCACCCGGAAACTGTTCTCTCATGTCGAATCTGGTACTTCTTATACTCAGAGATGTCAGCTAGCGAACATTGAGTTTTTGGGAGTTAAAAGACTCGAAGCTGGCCTTTGCTTCCTTTTTCGCATTAACTCTGGCTCCAATCTTCCGCTCATTGACACTCTCACTCCGAGAGATCGGTCCTATGCCACGCGCAACTCCTCCATGTGATTCCCACGCGTCTTTGCACTACATCTAAGTGCTCCCTCTTTTTTGCTTCCAAATATGCCTTCGTTTGGAATAATCTTCCGCCAGAAATTCGGTAATCGCCTCAGTTATCAGTATTTACATCGAAATTACGCAAACAACTTACACCGGAAAGTATAAAGGCACTTTTAGCGGTCCCAGTCCCGAACACTCAGCTTCTTCGAGAAGGGTCATCCTGGGATTTAGTGGTAGATCAAGTGGAAACCCTCAATTATATCCTTACAAACCCTGTTTTGAATTGGTTTCTAAATCCACTGCTATCCCTCCTCCCCCATAGCGAAAATGTTCGCGGTTCTTGATGTCATCTCCCGCATTCAGACCTCATGCGGTCTGTCGACGCTCACGGCGGAACCATCAGTATTCGTCGTCTACTAGTAGTTTGGTCGTACCTCCCTTCCCCACTCCTCGGCCGGGCTCGAAGCGGACTATGGCCGGTCACGTCTGGGTTCCTCTCGTCAGGCCTTTTTACGTGAATAGTCTCATCCGGCGTATCAATTCTGTCCTGACGATGTCCGTTTTGAATCCCTTATACAGTATCGCATGCAGGCCAGTCCTGTCTGACCCGCATACGTACTCCTCAAGGCTGAAATTTATTTCTGCCCCGACGACGTCCGATTATAATGCGTTGTAAACCGCCACATGCAAGCCAGTTCTGCCCGCATTTTTATCCTTTCATGAGCGTCAGTTTTTTTGTCCTCAAAGTTAATCAGATAATTTTTGAATTTTTAAGTGATCTTTTTTCACTGCTTGCCCATCACTTTTTCTACGGACTACTTATTCTATAACTATTGTAGTTTAAACAGCAAATAATCTATAAATAATAATAAATACTTAACTCTAAGTGAGGAATGCTGCGTTTCTTTCAGGAACATTAGCGGTGGCAAAAAGGTATAAGAAGAACGACGATATGTAAATAATTGTGCAGCCTTAAGAAAAACAACGCCTTCCCCAGAATCGTTGGCCGAAGGGTGAATATTCTGAGTAAAATCCCGAAGCGTAGTCAGTGAGTCAGGCATGTCGCTCAGGTGAATTTACGTCCAGTTAAATATTACTAAATGATATACAAGTTTCCTGTCGATTGAGAAAAAGATATTGAGGCGAATGAGGGCAATCAACGAAACAACGACGTCAAGCAGCAGACGGACACAGATGTCACGCTTTTTCTCAAGCAGAAACCAAGCGTGTGTATGTTAGCTAATTTAAACGACCGTAAGAAACGTCCAGGTGTAGAAGAAAGTTTAGAGTGAAAAATCGAAAATGTGCGTAAACCTACAGTATGTATTGCAAATTGTAGAGATTCTGTGCACCTCCTCTAAAATGCTTTTGAAAAATTTGTTTCTACCTGCTATAAAGGGAAACCGATGGGCCTTTGATAGAACTGTTTTATCATTTATTTATTTACTTGAGAAAGCAGCCCACTTCTACGATTGTTTATGTACGGTGATCTGCTTCATGGTTGATAAGTCATGCTAAAAATGAAGAACAAACGACTATTCGGACTGGGTTTTGATCCTGATCCATCCCAGTTTTGTCAATACCCTAGAAAGTGTAGTGGAAACGTGGACTTAAAAACTACAAACAGTAATATATACAGAAAAAACTAACTCCAAATGGGGGAATTGTGTTTACCAACAAAAAAAGATGTACAGATTCGAAGAATCTGAAAAGAAAATTTCCAGCCTCACGCAAAGTAGAATCCTCTCAAGTAGCGAGATAGTATTCCAATGAGGAACCGGTTGAATGGAGGCAGTCGGTTCCGCGATGATATGGTGAAGTAGGCTTGTGAGGAGAGAGTCTCCGTCAGCTCATACGAATTGCTAAGAATGTTGAGAGGTTACAAACGAAGGCCAAGAAATAACGACATCAAGCACACTGGAAACCAGAACACACGTTGACCGCCGCAGAGTTTTTTTGTGTATTTCCGTTTAGTCAAACAAATGTACTGGAAAGTCAGATGTACAAGAAAGTGTAGTGAAACAAATCAAAAATGTACAAAAGTCTACACAACTCCCCCACCAGAACGTTTGCCAAAGAAACAAAACGCTCGATAAAATAAAACGGAAAGAGAGAAAAAATTACACTACAAAGTCTTTAAGTTTGGCGGGAAAGTGGATATGTCTACCGGAACGAGATGAAATGGGCGGTGGTGTAGGAGGAGGATCCGGTTGGGTGGGTAGAAGGGTCAAGTGTGGTGATGGAGGGTAGGTGAGTGGAGTGGGTGTATCGGCTGAGGACATAGTAGGGGGAATGGATGGCGCACTGGTCGACGGGAGGCATTCCAGATAGGCTGGCTTAAGGCGGTCAATGGAGACCGTGTCAGTCTTATCAGCCTTCTGAAGGACGTACAACTTGTCTTTCCGCTGAACGACCTTATATGGGCCATCATATGGGGAACAAAGAGTCTTGCGAACCGCGTCATTCCGGACGAAAACAAAGGGGGCAGATTTAAGGTCCTCGTGTACAAACAAATGTGTCGATGTCTGACGAGTGGGGGTTGGACGCAGTTGAGCCATGCGTTGTTTCAACTGCTTTACGAAGGTGCTCGGGATGTTAGTGTTTGTTGTGGAAGGCTGCACAAATTCGCCGGGCAGACGGAGGGGTGTACCGTACACAAGTTCGGCGGCAGTGCATTGGATGTCCTCCTTGACAGAAGATCGGATGCCCAAAAGCACAAGAGGGAGATTGACACTCCAAGTAGCTGACTCTGTTTGGGACATCAGTGCGGACTTGAGTTGGCGGTGTAGACGCTCAACGAGGCCGTTGGAGGCAGGATGATATGCCGTGGTTGTGATGTGCGCACACCCTAGAAGCCTAGTGAACTCACGGAAGAGGCTAGATTGGAATTGACTTCCGCGGTCAGTGGTAAGGGTGGCGGGAACACCAAAAGTTGAGATCCACTGGGTCAGAAAAACCAAGGCGATATTTTCTGCCGAGGTATCCGATATAGGAACGGCAATCGGCCATCGTGTGAAACGGTCAACTGCCGTCAGGATATGCGTGCACCCACGTGAAGGGGGTAACAATCCGATTAAATCCAAGTGAACGTGATTAAATCGAACGTCCGGGACCGCAAAGGTACTTGGAGGGGAGGAGGTGTGTCGATGCACCTTGTTCTTCTGGCATGCGAGACATTGTCTGTTCCGAAGAGCAATGTCGGAATTCATCTTCGGCCAAACAAAACGAGCCGCAATTAACTTACGTCCGGCGCGAATGCCAGGGTGGGAGAGGGAGTGAAAGTGGTCAAAGACGACCTTACGATAGGGTGGTGGAACAACAGGACGAGGGGTGCCTGTGGACCAATCGCACAAGATCGTACCTGGTGAAGCAGGAAGTGGCGCATCTCGAAGCTGCAGAGTAATAGACGTACGTAATTCCTCTATGGACTCGTCTGCTGTTTGGAGGTCTGCAAGCTTCGCCAGGTCGAAATCGGATGTGAGGGTGTTGATGTCCGGACGGGATAATGCATCAGCAACGACATTGTCGCTGCCTCGGACGTAGCGGATATCTGCAGTAAACTGCGATATATAGTCCAGGTGACGAACTTCCCTGGGCGAGTACCGATCTGGCTTGGCCTTGAGGGCGTAAGTGAGAGGTTTGTGGTCGGTATGGACCGAAAAGTCTCTGCCCTCTAAAAGGTGTCGAAAGTGACGTATGGCCAAGTAGATGGCAAGGAGCTCGCGAGAGAGAGTAATATAGCGAGTCTGCGCCGGTTAAGGCTTCTGTGAAAAGAAAGCTAAAGGCTGCAACTGGTTATTCAGCTGCTGATGCAAGGCTGCGCCGACAGCACTGCTGGAAGCGTCGGTGGTCAAAATGAGCTGTGCATGAGCGTCAGAGCTGAGGTGGTGCAGCATGGTGGCATCGGCAAGAGCCTTCTTCGCCTCCTTAAAAGCTGTATGGGCTGCCGGTGAAAGTTCAATAGGTTTTGCTTTTGACTTCAAAAGGTCAGTCAAGGGAGCCAGCATTGTCGTACAATGGGGAATAAAACGTCTGTAATAGTTGATAAGGCCTATGAAACGTCGCAGATGAGTGAGTGTGTTGGGAACAGGGAAAGACAAGATGCATTGCACCTTCTCTGTAAATGGAGTGATTCCAATTTTCAATTTTTCAATTTTCAATTATTTTATTAAAGACCCGTCGGGGTCCCATCAAAGCAAGTAAAAATAAATTTACATGCAAATTTTAGACGATGTAGGCAAAATCTGCACAAAGTGCAATGCATAGTTTTTGAGATTAGAAGTCCGTTAAGCAAAATGAAAATGAAAAAAAAAACGAGGGGTGAAAAAAAAACTCCAAAGCAAGATTTAAAAATGATTGTAGTAATTTAACAGGAGAAAAAAAAAACCCTCAGAAAAATAGCATCAGAAAAAAAGGGAGGACTGGCCTGCATGTGGCGGTACAAAATGGAATAAAGCCCGACATCAACATGGCCGAAATAGATGTCAGCTGTATGTGGCATTGTGTAACGGATTTCATAAAATGGTACGTAGGCGGGTCGGTCAGAACTGGCCTGTATCGCCTTGAATAAGAAAAATAAGTGCCGAAATTGAAAACCAGTCTCAAGCCGATAGGAACCCAGATGCGGTCAGTTTCATTCAACCGAGTCCATCCGAACATGGGGGGAGATGCGACCAGACTACTAGTATATGGCGAATATAGAAGGCTTTGACAAGACCGCCGATGGAGCGCATTCTGTAAGGGCATGATGACAACCAGTCTCGAGGCGAAAAGGCCCCAGATGCGGTCTGTTACATTCATCAGAGTCCATCCGAGGATAGGGCAAAGGAGATGCGACCAGATTACTAGTATATGGCTAATATAGAAGGCTTCGCCAAGAGCATCGATGAAGCGCATTCAGTGAGGGCATCATGAAGATCAGTCTCGAGGCGATAGGAACCCAGATGCGGTCGATTACATTCATCCGAGTCCAACCGAGGATGGGGGAAGGGAGATGCGACCAAACTACTAGTATATGGCGAATACAGAAGGTTTCGCCAAGAGCGTCGATGGCGTGCATTCTGTGAGGGCACGATGCATGAGCTAAAAAATTGGAATAATTAACATTTCTGGTGAGGTATCTTGGGTAACGAGACTACTCATAAAGAAACGTGAACAGATACGGAAATTTAATAGCGGCATGCTAAATTCCCGTGCTGATCGACGTGATGGCCAAGGAAATTGGGAGAATTAACGCCAAAAACGCATTTGTCGACGTTTGATTGCAAACCGTGTTGCTGGAAACGATCGAATATGAGGCGTAAATGCGAGGCATGTTCCTCTGCCGAAGAGCTTGTGACGAGTATGTCGTCGATGTAGACGTAAGCGACTGGAAGGCCCCGCAAGATCTCATCGATAAAGCGCTGAAATGACTGGGCAGCAATGCGCAAGCCAAAAGGCATGCGAATAAATTCGAACAGCCCAAAGGGTGTCGTGATAGCGGTCTTTGGGATATCTTCCTCAGCGACCGGGATTTCGTGGTACGCCCTGACGAGGTCTATATTGGAAAAAATAGTGTTACCGGCTAACATGTGGGAAAAGTCGTGAATGTGGGGAATGGGGTACCGGTCAGGAATTGTGAACCTGTTTAGGGCTCGATAATCACCGCACGGTCGCCAATCGTCAGATGACTTCTTTGGCACCATGTGCAGTGGGGAGGCCCATGGGCTAGATGATGGGCGTATAATGCCCAGATTCATCATATGTTCAACTTCGTTCTTTGCTATTCGGAGCTTCTCAGGGTGGAGTCTACGCCGACGAGCGTGCACTGGTTGCCCTGCCATGACAGTGTGGTGTTTCACTCCGTGTTAAACGTTTTCGGTAAAATGACATGGTTTAGTGATGGACGGGTAGTCCTTCAAAATGTCAGCGAAAGGGGTGCTGGGAATGATGAGATGAATGCCATCCGAACGTTCAGAGCTAATGGCAGCTATGGCAAAGGGTTGGGTGGTTGTGTCTGTGAGGCGACGGCGTCTGATGTCGACTGTTAAGCCGAAAGATGACAAAAAGTCGGCCCCGATAATGGGCGATTTGACGTCGGCCTCAATAAAGACCCATTGGAAACGTCGCCGGAGACCAAGATCTAAAGTGAGGGACCGTTGGCCGTAGGTGCTGATTGTGGTGCTATTTGCAGCCTGCAATGAGAATTGCGAAGGCTTGAGGCGGTGACGCCTTAGAGGCGGGATGACACTGACCTCGGCACCGGTATCAACCAGGAAACGGAGGCCGCTCGACTTGTCGTTGATATAGAAAAGGCGACTGGGTCGCGACGGGCCATCAGCAGTCGTCGCCATTACTGACTGGCGTGGTCGTTTAACTGTGAAGGACAAGCGAACGAACGAGGAGGTATGCACTTTCGGGCTTTCGGGCCATAAGTGCGATGATACCAACATAATGGTTGTAAACGCCGCTCACGGGATTTAGACCGACGATGTGAGTATGGCTGTTTTCTAGCCGATTGAAGACTGTTAAGAGCAGAGCACATGTTGCTCACCTGAGTGCAAAGGAGGCGCACAGTGTCTCTTAGGTCGTCGTAATCGGTGCGATAAGCGTCGGTGGGTGTTCTGGGAGGACCGGCTGATGTGGGCGCTCGTCGGGTTATGCAACAGCATTGTGCTTTTTCCGTATAGGAAGTGTCGTGCTCTGATAATGCTGGGCCTTCTGAATCAAAGTCAATGCCCTGATGGGGCTTCCCTTTGGAAGGCAGGGGCCGCTGAATATTGGAACACGAGGCACCAATGGGGTAACACTCCTTGATTCTGTCAGCGTGGGTAGCTAGCTTCTCTAAGGGTGTATTCGAGTCCAACATAGCCAAAACCTGTTGCATTGGCACCGGTAACTTTTCTAACCCAATCTCGGGAAAAATGGCGTCGTCCATGTGCATACTAGCGAGAAGTGAGCGCAGGTGACGCATTAGCTGGAAAGGTGTATGATCCTCTAGTTTTACTTGCGTAAAAAGTTCCCGCAGCATAAGGTTGGCCGATTTAGCCACCCGTTGGATTACCGCTTCCTTCAGCCGCGTATACGGTTGGTCGGCAGGAATGGGGTCAAGGAGGTATTCGACGGCGACAGCTTCATCAAATGGGAGGGACCGCAAAACTTACGAATAGCGGGTACGCTCGCTAGTAATGCGGCTTGTCGCAAAAAGAGCCTCGATCTGCCTAAACCAAACGCGAGGATTGCTCAGTGTAAACGGTGGCAGTTTAAAAGAAAGGGTGTTAATGTCGAGTGAGTCTTTTTGGGAGTTGTCACTGGCCATGGTAAATAAAAAAAGGTTCGGAATGCAGGAAAAAGCGGGGCCACCAATTTTGTAGTGAAACGTGGACTTAAAAACTACAAACAGTAATATAAACAGGAAAACTAACTCCAAATGGGGAATTTTGTTTACCAACAAAAAAAGATGTACAGATTCGAAGAATCTGAAAAGGAATGTTCCAGACTCACGCAAAGTAGAATCCTCTCAAGCAGCGAGAGAGCATTCCGATGAGGAACCGGTTGAATAGAGGCCGTCGGTTCCGCGATGATATGGTGAAGTAGGCTTGTGAGGAGAGAGTCTCCGTCAGCTCATACGAATTGCTATGAATGTTGAGAGGTTTCAAACGAGGGCCTAGAAATAACGACATCAAGCACACTGGAAACCAGAACACACGTTGACCGCCGCAGAGTTTTTTTTGTGTATTTCCGTTTAGTCAAACAAATGTACTGGAAAGTCAGATGTATAAGAAAGTGTAGTGAAACAAATCAAAAATGTACAAAAGCCTACAAAAGGGAGAAATGCTAACCGGAACGCTACATACCGTCTACCGACCGTCCAAACGCCCTTCTTTTTAGGATTCCTCTAGGGCGTCCAGTATTGATCCTTAGTTATAGTAACAGAAATCTGAAGGAAATGCACTCTTCATTCATGATTTGGGCGTGCACTCGCAGTCCAGGAACTTTCTGCCAGTCACTTTATTGAGTCCGAGTCAACGTGTTCTCATCCTTTAGTTCTTTCGCGTTACCCGCCAAGTTACCTATCAGTAGGTTTTAATGGAACACAATTATCCACTACAACTTGGATAACCACGTAGATCCTTGCAGGAAGGGACTCTAAATTACCCGGAAAACGGAATATTTTGGACATTCTAATACTTGGCTTCTGAAACTTGAGCAGTCGCGTTAATCACAGCCTCCTCAAGCGGGTGAGTCGGGTCTCCTGGCTTGTCACGTGTGTGACGCTTGTTTTGTGTATTTGGACAAATAATACATCAAATCGAAGTTATTAGCGCTGAAATTCGTTCTGTGCACAAGGTTCTCAGGATGACTGAGGGGGAACATGTCGCTCCTTCGCCCTTAACCGGAATTGGTGAAAAGTCCAAACCCTCCAACGCAGACCAGACATCAACAGTGGACCTTTTAGATGACGCCCAGTTCAATATCAAAATACATTTGTCTCCATCCGAGATTGTTACCCTTCAGGTTAACTCATCGGAGATCGTTCAAGAAATACATCATGCCCTCACGGAACGTGAGGAATCTTGCCATCGCACATGCTTCTCCTTGCAGCTCAATGGCAACACTCTTGACCTGTTTGCTGATTTAAAATCCATCGAAGGCCTTACCGAAGGCTCTGAAATATATGTCGTTGAAGGTAAATGTTTTACATATTTTACTCTGTAGAACGCTATACCACTCGCGAGGTGCGTAATCATGTTAAACATATCAACGAACTCCTCAACAGCATCAAGGTTCGCGATGCTTATGCTGGCCGCGATCAGATGTCCCTGTCTTTTTTGAGCTCCGTCACAATGGGAGACATCTTTGGTAATTCCCGACATTTGGGTCCATTTTCCATTCGCATAATATCTTAATCTAGTCAGCCATAATATGGTATACTTCCTTTCGGCCACGGTTACGTGTTAGATTTCATTAATCAAAGAAATATTTTTTGCCATAAAATTCTACCAGTTGTCACGAATCCCCTTCGTTTAGAGCGCAAGCCCTCGAAGTCCGATGCCAGCATCAACTTCCATCCTCCCACTTACATAATGCCTACACCGGGTCTTTCCGAGCCGCCTTTAGTGCCGCTCCATCCATACAATAAAGAAGATAACGCGTTAACGTGTCTTCGGCAGCTAAATTATAGCAACTGGAACCCACCACCGCCTCCGCGCCGCCTAGCCGGTGACTTGGTCTACCTCGTTGTTCATACACTGGAAGACAAGCGTTGTCACATAACTGCCTGTTCCCGGGGATTCTTTGTCAATCAGTAAGTAATTTTTTTCGATCTTAGACGAATGAGCATAGTATTGATAAGGGTCGCCCTTTACTTGACTTCGATTTTTTGCCCTGCCTCTAGAACCACCGATGATGTTTTCAACCCGAAGCCTGTACAAAACGCCTACGTTGCTCATTCCCTCATTGATCTACTGAAACAGCTAAGTCCAGCCTTCAAAAAATCCTTCGAAAATCTTTTGAAGCGTCGATCCAACAAGCATCCGTTTGAACGATTCCCTACACCCTACCAGGTTTATTCGTGGCTCAGTCCTCAATGGGAACATACACCCGATTCTGTACGCAAGGATGAAGGTTTGTCTTGCTCCACGTTTTGGCTTTAAATCGCCATGGGAGTAAACGTCTCACATAGTTTCTCTTTTTCAACAGCCTTCGCCTCGCGCATGGCATGCGAAGAAAATCTGCCTGGCCAAACTCGCGACTGGAATGATGAACTGCAGGCTACCCGCGAGCTCCCGCAGGCCGCTCTTAATGACCGGTTGGTGCGGGATCGTGCCATCTTCAAATCCAACAGCGACTTCGTTGCGGCTGCCACGCGTGCAGCTGTCAGTGTTGTGAACGGTGACATAATGGCCATAAACCCTGGAGAGACTCGAAAACAACAAATGTTCATCTGGAATAACATGTTCTTTTCATTGGGCTTCGATGTAAAAGACCACTACAAAGAATTAGGGGGTGAGGCTGCCGCATACGTTGCCACAGTGAGTGAATTTCAATTAACTTCCGCTGTGCTCAGGCACTCTTATATTTTTTAATACCACTGTCCCACCTTACTGCTGCGCCTAAGTAATTGTATTCTAAGTCAAAGGAAAACCAACAAAGTCGGCTGTGTCCAACCTCGGGCCCGAAATGCCTGGGACACTGGCAAATTATTCCAAAAAATCGACATGCGCGCTCTAAAACACGCAACGTAGCTCATATTCATGCAACATTAGCAGCTGATTTGACAGTCTTATTGTCAACGTTTGACTCGTTTGCACTTGCATACCACAACGGTATCTAACTGAACCAATTATTAATCTCTTCTGTAGTCAAATGACCTGAATGGTGTTCGTGCATACTCCCTCCTTGACCAGCCGGGTCTGTGCACGCTTGGAACAGCCATTATTGACTATCGTGGCTATCGGGTCACTGCGCAAACTATAATTCCAGGTGAGTTTTTGGAAGCATTGCCATCTGTAGTGAGATCTTTCAGCTAAACCAAAAGACCCATTTGTAATCCACATATCCAAATAACGGAGATGATTCAACCAGATATCCTTTTTCTACAATATTCCGACCAACGTTTTAAAGTAATTTTGTTGCACCCACCTGGGAGATGACAGGACTCACACTCGAACTCCTCATCCGTGACAGCAACGAATAAGTTCGGTGAATACACAAGGGACGCAGTTACTACACCAGCAGACAAAATTAACAGCTTCCTCATTTAATGTACATGATAGGGCTTGCTGCGATGGCCATCTTATCATCGTGACCGAGGCGTTTTTTGCCGCAATTTCTTTGTCGGTGTTGGTGACTGACGCGACAATTACTCGGCGATGTGGTTCATCAATATTGTCACTGGAGGTAATATTCGCCCGTGCGCTTCCCGGGCGACAATTTACTATGTTCAGGCAGTCTTGGCATTGAATTTGGAAAGAAAGCGGCTGACGGCTTCCTGGGCGTTCTTGTCTCACGGAAACGCGCGCCGACATTCGCAGCCAGTGTAGTTTGGTCTCGTCTGTGCACGCACGAGTTTCACGGGCAGCCGTTCATTCTGTGAATCCCTCGAAGGTATTGTCGTCTACCAACATTGACTTCCAGTCCATCGCAGTGCTGTTTAATGTGCCGATAGAGCGCGCTTGCACAGCTAAGTTTTTTGGCCCGCCAAGTGGTTGCTGCTGAGGCTGAGTGCTTGCATCGTCTGTCGTTTTTTCTAAATACCGGTTTTTGGGCCTCCACGATCTTTTTGACTGACAAAAAGACCAAGGTAGGTAGTCAGGTTATTTTCCTCCTCCATCGTGGATTGGAGGATGTCATCACTTGATTCCATCCGATGCCAACGAAGGTAATCACTACATACCCAGTCAAAAATTTCAGCGCGTGGATATGGAAGAGCATTGATTCCAGCTGTTTCAAGACCGTCTCGCTTGTGAGCTCAACGATCACCGGACTTATTCACGTACCTCTCGTACGGTCGTAGTTTATATCACCAAACGATAACTAGATCCTTGTTGCGGACTGGGGCTTCTGGACAGGACAGTCTGCCCCTAGAAGGCCAGGTGATTACTGGAGCATCGCCAGTTCTGTGCCCAACGGGAATCTAATCCCATAGAAATGTTGACACGCGAAATAGCTTTCTGTTACGGAAGTGGCTGAGGGCCGCTGTTGCCTTTGAATAAGTTTGACAAGTGAGATGTTTTACTACTAGCTTACTGTCTCATCTGCGAAATGTTAATTCGAACAGAACGAAGGTGGCGAAGTATGCAGGCTTTAATGATGTCACTCATTTAATGACCTATTTAGTCGTCTGCAGTCATTGGATAATCACAAACTATCAGTTCGGTAGTAGAACAGCCCAGGGTACCTAAACGGAACATGTACATAAATAGTAAGGAATTTTGTTTGGACATGCGGGTAGGCCTAGTTCGAAAGGTGGGAAGGGCTGATAGGGGGAGGGAGTTTTGATTACAACGGAGACTAGTCAAGCGTGGCGGGGGCTACATGAGATGAAACATTAGCCAATCACGTTGGAACTGGGGAAACAAGACGGAACGGAGTTATTTCTCTTACTGACTCTTAAATGGAGTGTGACTGAGTCAAGTGGTCCAACTGTTTACACAGTTCTGCTTTCTTCCGTATTGCTGCGGCCTCTGAATAGCGCAGGAGGCTTCCAGCCCTCGCCTGAATTAGAACCTTGGACGCTGCTGTTGTGCGGTTGAGTTCCTTTGCGTTGTGTTTTCTATTCCTTGCTCAATTTCGGTATATGTATAACCAATCGAGTTACCAACCACCTTTGCATGCACTAGGTATATTTGAATCTGCAATTACCTGTCAATTCATAGGTACAGTGTGATTTAACGTGCATAGGCAAGGAATCCTGAATTGGCCTCATTAGAATAGTTGTTGTGGCGCTTAGGAGCGACAAGTTAAAGACGGTGATGACCCTTCAGTCGTGTGCCAGAGCCATCACTTTATTATGTTTGATGTAGTGTCGCCCTTGAAAGGGAAGTGGATACTAATAGGCTTTTTGTCGTGGACATCTCTGATGGAATTTCCGCTCCAGGATGGAGATATTTATCGGCAAATTTCTCCGGACACCCACTCCTACAAAATAGAACTTTGACGAAATTTCTCTCGCAATCGATTGTTTTTAGAAAGCAAATTATAGTAGCTCGACTGAACAGTTTACGCGCTTTTCCACACAGGCGGTGACAATGTTTTTTTTTTTTTACCAAAAAGTGTTCACATTTCCGGCTAAGTTCGACTCGGCCGTCCGCTACTTGCACTGCCGTAGTGTGTTTGTATGCACCAGAAGTTTAAACTTCCGAAAACCTACTCAATGCAGTCCATAATTTACGTTACGTTATAAATAAGCTTGTTTGTCCTCCATTCTTCCGCAATATATATTCGATGTTTTTCTTTTCGATGTAACTTCTTTCGTAAACCCGAGAACAACCATTTTTCCACCCCTTACATAACAGTCGTTACCATCGGCCGAGATTAGTTTTCCCATTCCGAAGAAGCATCTTGTCAATTCATGGAACGAGGCGTGTTACGTAGGTTTTGCGTCAGCCATGGAATGAAGTAGAGGTCGCATTGCCCAGCGTAGTCCCGCTTTCAGCAACCTTCCTGTCCAAAACGTTATTTTCTCACCAAACTGTCCTTTATGTTCTTTAACCAAAAGTGGAACTGGGAACCAGTGCGCACACACGCCCTTCAAATCGACCAAGTTCGATTCTCTTATCCTCATCCGCACCCCGCCCTTAGACTAGGCAGTCAGCTCCCAAGGCGGAATTACTTCCTGGTGAATTTACACCTCACAAAGGATAGAATAATATCTTGCCTCGCAACCGGTTCGGTAACAGTTCCACCGTCGTTACTTACGATTTCCATTGTATGTCCCACAGCATCGTAGGCGGAGGGTTGGTGGCTTGCGCGTGAATTAGTTTGTAGTGATGGTGGACTTGCATTGCATCTATCGCACTTTCTCATTCCCCATCCATCTGAGCCCGATTTCAAGAAGACCGGTGGCAGGATCAGTCGCAGTGGCCAAAAAATCGAAACAGTGCATCTGCGCATGCCACACATTTGATCCGCGCACGATAAACCAGTTGTCACGAAGACAACGAAGGAACGGCTTGGATTCCTACTGAGTGAGGGTACCATAAAGACCACATTTAAAAGGGGCTATTGCAACGTGACCTTGCGTTCTAAGAGGAGGACCAAGTTATGTCATCAGTTGGCAACCTTCTAAGCCACGGCTTCAACCACACCGTGATAGTTTAGAAGTGTGTCAGATCGTTTGTAGTGAGGAATATGCGCCGGGCGCCATGGAGACGGAGTCCCCGGAGTCAATCTACCTCCCATCTGCCGTGCATCGGTCCATCGTCCGAGCAGGTCAGCCATCTGATCTATGGATTGGGCGCAGTGGCCGATAGAACCAGAGGACCCCTCTTCGCATGCCACACATGACCTGTCCCCGCACAACATTCCAGGATTTCACACAATGGGTGTGAGCTGCTCAGATCTCATGCGTTAGAGTAGCATATAAGACCACATGGAGGAGACGAGGCGGTTCGCTAATGTGACGCTGGTCGCCGAATTATGGATGGACAGACAACAGTGAGATCCTGCATATCCTAAATTCCTCTTCGATAATTTACTTCTCGGATAAAATTGGATGAAATTGTCGACTATTCGACTATTGTATTCTGTACTTTCGTTTTTCGGCGCGCTGCATGACTTATGGAGTTGTTTAAGGGGTGTGAAATGAGTCGGATCGCCACCCTTGCTTACTGTTATTTTTTCTTTGGGTAGCTGAACTGATTAAGCAGCTATTGATGCGCATGCTGCGAATCCATAAACTATAAAACATTTTTTGAGGACCCTTTCGAAACGCGTGCTCTAATTTTTGACGTGAGATGAACATTACAGAATCCAAAACCGTAAAGGAGCGCTGAGGGCGGGCGCAGCCATATTTTCTGTCAGTGCTGACGTTTGCGGTTTTTCGATTGTCCCCATCAGTGAATGTTATCGGCCGCCAAAGCTGCTTGGTGAAGTTCGCACTCTATGCCTTGCTTCGTCAAAGGTGGCGCTCGCGAATATTGGCAGACGCCAACATTCCTTAGCGCCGTCTCCACTTGTCTGAACCTCACATTCGCTCCTTCGCCTCCGTACACCTGTGAATTTTAATGTGCAGCCATGTCTTATGTCAACCGGTAAATCGCCTCGAGTTTTAATTGTTTACCCTTTCCATTTCGTAGGGATTCTCGAAAAGGAGCAGGAACAGCTCGTTGTCTACGGGTCCATTGACTTTGGCAAAACTGTGGTGGACGATGCCCGATACCACGAACTCTTGGGTAAAACTGCCAAGAACCTGCGAATTCGACCTCATTAGTACGTATCCATGTTCCCCCTTTTGACCTCGGGTCCTTGCTTTTGGTGAAGACCTGAGCCTGTGTCTTTGTCGTTCCGTTTGAAAGACTAAATTGCATATTTCACGCGTAGATGAATGAATACCATTGTTGACTGTGAGCTGTGCAACTAGACTCGCATTTAAGATGCCGGACCGTTTTCGGGCGTCAACGCCTCCAGACTGGCATTCACGCGCGGAAGATTACGTTAGGAGGACGGATTTTTACGCTTCTTGGGTCGTGTTCTCTGTGTGAGCTCACAGTTACTGACTTGTGTACGAGAAACTTGCCATTGTAGCCTCACTTATCCTTTGCACATCCTTTTTCATGCGCATAGGTAGCATAGGGTGGGACATTTTATAGGGCGAGCAGGCGAGCATGCATGGGCCACTTTTCTGATGTCGTGAAGTTGATATCCTTCAATCCTGCCGGTCTACTCGATCTTGCGAGTGAAGAACGGACTTGGAGGCATTTTTGTGCAGACTGCAGACAGTCGTTGCAGGCCAAAGTTGTTCAGTTACCAGTCACCTTCGACCGCAGGTGCGTTTGCTCCAAAGCCTACAGGAAACACTTATTTTTGGCATCGACATCCGAGAAAAAGACTGTACTGCAAATAGTTACGTAAGGATTATCTAGTACGAGAACCAATTTGGCTTACGTCCTGCTCTTTGCCGATCCCGCCATCGAATACTCTGCCCGCACGCTTATCAGCCGTGATGACAAGCGTTCTCTATGTGCCGGGGGCTAACTTAATTTTTTGAGCTCGCTTGTATTAGACGCCTGGACTGAGTTTTGAGCATGCTTAAAAGCTGTGTGTGAGGTTGAACTGTTACATCTAAAGGCACAAACCAGATGACCAGATTCCGACTTTAACAAAACATCGTCTTAGTCTGCCAATCAACAAGATTAGACGAAGGCCATACACAACACCGTGCACTTGTAAAGACATTTAGCGAACTTGGTTCAGCCGACAGCATATTTCAGGGTGGTCGCATCCTATTGCAGTTGATCGGCGCAGGCTGCAGAGTGCAGTTGACAGGTATACTTCACATCTACCTGTTTCATCATTGCACATCGTGGTCCACACGCCACATGGAAACTGAAGTCAGAAACTGCCTATCAGACTGTGTTGATTGTTAGTTTTTATACTCCTTTCTACCGACCATAATTTGTTTCTTCTTGTCCACTTTAGTGTTGTAGACCAGTCTGGCAAGGAAATCGAACTTCTTTCCTCCGTCGATTGCAAGGGTATCATCGGTAATGACAACCGGGCATATATCCTCGACCTCCTCCACACCTTCCCTCCAGACGTCAATTACCTGGGCGGTGCGCCCGCAAACATCCGCCCCGTCCTCAGTCCGGCTATGACTGCGCTGGGCTACCCCTACACCCACAGGCACCTTCTGCCTAGCCTCCGCCAGGAACTTCTCGACGCCTTCTGCGAGTGAGTAGACCTTCCTGACTCAACAGGGAGACTTCGTGACACACTATACCACCACCCTTGGACGCTCGTTTCATTGTTAACTCGATGCTCTTAGGTTTACGACAGGCGTCAAAGTTCTTTGTGTGTTTTAAGCTGGAATGGTTTACTTGAGTATGACGGCAGCACGGGTTAGCGTGAGGCATGATTCCGAGTCTCTTCTTGTACAGTAATATGTTGACTGTCAGCGTAAAATCCTCCCAACCAGTTATGCGAGTCGTGCGCAGGGAAGAAAAATACTCGAGAGGTGTGTGTTTCTTTCGTCGGCTCTCGATGTTTGTGTAAATTTAATTACACTTCATGGAGGAAATGCGTAGAATTCTCATCTGTGGAATTCACCTCTAGCTGAAGTCCACTTAAGCACTCTTGCGGCTGTGCTCCAAAAATCATCAGGTTTTGCCGTGCAGAGAGCACTATATCTTAGTGCAAGTTTTTGATTTTCGGGTCAGCACGAAGGCAGGCAGTCCTCGCACCATCAGCTAGTCGAAAAAATCGTCCGAGATCCGGTTTTTGTTGTGACAACCGCTCTGACCTCGTACATTCCGTGAGATGCCTTATGAAATACCGCTTCACTTCGAACTCATTGCTTTCAACCGAAACTCCTTCCGGGGACGACTTTCGTTAGCGAAAACTGGACGGAAGCCCATGAGAAGGGGAATCTTTGCAATGGTTGACATTTTATTCTTTGCATATGCCTTTGACGAAACGACCGCAGAAATTTGCCCGGAATCGTTTTTGATACTCATGTGCAGGAGAGAGATGGCCTGACTGGTGTATTGTTGCCTTTCGAGTTCCGAGTCGCCAGTGTCCGGTGTGTCCAGCGGGTGTGTTCGAAACAGGCTTTCATGATTAAGTTGTTTAGCAATGCAACTTTGCATCACGAAGTCGTAGTCCTTATCATAGGCGCCGTAGGCTCACCACTTCCCCCACCCTGACATCCCGCATCTCCGAAATCTCAGGGTCTCACTGGAAAACCCGCGACCCAATATGGTCCGTGTGTTTTAGGATTTGCAGCTTGCTTTTGTTGATTTAAAAGTGTTTTTTTCTAAGATCCTATTGCCGGGCATTCAGAAGTTTCAATAAAACTGCGTCGGATTAATTTCACTATTAATGGGCTTTGATTGATAAGGACTGTTTAAGGTAACCACAATTTTTTTTCTGCCCCACCCTAGATCACGGCACGACACGTTCCTTCGTACGGCTGCCCGCGAGCTCCAAACTTTGAGGGCCTCCAAAGCAAACTCCGTAAAGGTGCGTTTGGCGAATATTTGGCTACATATTTGCATTAGCAGTTGAAGATCCGGGGCTTGAACGCCTGACGTCGCATTAGTGGGTCGGCCTCTGAAATAATTGTCCCACACTTTAATACTACTGTAAAATTGTTCGGGTGTGACGGCACGCCTGGGGGCGGCTCAGGCAGCGCCAACAACCTGCGCCCTCTCCCACATGCGGTCTTCCTGACTATGCCTTGGCAGCGAGCCCAGTCGGGGGAGAAGGGAAGAGTGCGGTAAATGCGACGCTATTCTACTATCAATATGAACTAATTCACGCGCAAGTCACCGTGCCTGCTTTCAGCCTGCTGTGGAGCACACGGTGGACATTGTCGGAATCGACGGTCGAACTGTCACGGTTAGATTGTGACATTTGAATTACGCACAATCCGTTTGATTGGGCTTTGGGACTCACTTGACAGCATCCACTCCGACACTCGGTAACAACATTCCGCCTATATCATGCGCCGCTGTGCGGCTGCTGGTTGGGCTTGAGAGAGAGCCCGTAAGGCACAACGGAACGAGTGAGTTCCGTATGAACGATCGGTGAGCGCTCCTCTACCATAGCATCCACTCCTTCCATCAGCATTCTTTCACAGCACCTATTTAAGTCGGCATTTCACTCGGGACTCTGATAAAGCCTTACCTCCAGCTGTCATAAGTTTTTTTGCATTAAGACGATTTACTGAGAAAATTTTTCGTGATCGCAGATCACACTAATACTTCCCATAGATGCTTTCCTACAACCCGCATGTCGTGTCCGACGGGGACTTCCACTATGCCAGGGGAACAATGGTGATTTACATATGAAATTGGCAATGATATGAAACCTTTGCACGGTATCTATCAGGCTCTGCACGCTCAAAATGCTTTACTAGCAAAGCCATTCTTTTATGAGTGCTTTCCACTGTCGCTTTTCATTGCGTTCATTGAGTCGAAAGCTGATAGCCGATATGCTGCCTGATAGACAGCCCAAAAACTTCTCGGCGGTTGTAATCAAGGCCTACAAACATTGTTTAGTCTCCGAGACGGGGAAGCTCGGTCTTTGTGTTTGACTAACACCCCTATAACCGGGGGAAGCTAGATCGACTCTGGGGACCCCGTCCCCTTTGCACTTTAGCACATATTCCTCATTATTACCAAAATGACGCGCTTTCAAACTATCACGTTGCGCTAATAGCCGCGGCTTGGAAGGCCGCCAGCTGACGGGATGGGCCAGTCCCTCAGGACGGGAAGTTGGGCCGCAATGGCTCCTCGCTGTGGTTTTATGGCGCTTCTATTCAACTGGGCCGCCCTTATGTGTTCTGATACGTACGTGCGGGACCAGGTCGCGTGTGTCACGCGTAAACTGGCTCTTGACTCTGACAGCGGGCCTGATTGGGTGAGGAATGAGAGTGCGGTAGAAGCAGCGCAAGCCTGCCTTCACTTTAAAATGTCCTGCGTGCAAGTCACCGCCCCTGCGCCTGCCACACACTACGGGGCACACGGCGGACGTCGCCATTCGCGGCGGCCGCACTGTCATAACCGGATTCTAGGTGTCGGGCAGCTGATTTATGTCCGTTCACAGGCCTATGAATTACCTAACCGCTGTTCTCCCACCCATTTTAATCCTTGCTAGCAGACTTGACCTCAATTGTTCTTGTATAATTTTGCAAGCCTGCGAAGTGCTTAAGTAACAAATTACTGCTGTCTCACAAGTACGGATGTTTCGTACTTTTTGAAACACAAATAATACATATCCAAAGCCGTCTGGGGCGTAGTTAGCTTACTTTCTCTCTATCGCGTGCACTGTTGTCGTAGGCCGGCAGTTCCCATCGTTGACATGCCGTATAAACCCCTTTACTTCAAAATTTTGAAAGTTTTATCGTGATCCGGTAGAAACCATTCAGTTCATATTACCTTCTGCAGATTGAGGAAATCCACACCAATGATGGCGAGGAAGCAGCTGTTAATGGAGATGCGATCATGCACCATGAATCGAACAACATGCTGCTTCTGAATGCCGATTCTGCAGTCAATTCCGTCCCAAAAATCGTTTTGACCGAAAAAACTAACCGAACACTCTCCTCTTCAAATGGCACTGATAATGGGGCGATTTCGGAAGTGAAGAAGGCCGCTGAGGACATACAGCACAGTTAGTTTGTATACATTGGTTTATGTCCCTCCGACATAAGCGTAACCAGTGACTATCTTTGCGTGTTGTAGAATAATTGCATCTTGTTTCTTCTTTTCTCCATCATACACACTTGTATATTTGCCTTTTTTATCCCGTCGATTGTCTAAGACTAACATCACACGCCCACGCTTTCCCACCCATAATTGGGAAGTGGATTTGAGCTCCATGCTTGGAAATTATTTCGCCTCATCAGACCATTGAATGATGCTACTGAATTTCCATTATTTGTGCGTTCGCTGGACCAAGTTGGCGCTATGTCACATGTCACCCTCTACAATCGCTGCGACGATTCGTCATTAAGTATTTGTCCTATTGAAGTTTCTAGTCTATTCCAGTTTACGCTGGTAGGCGAAAGCTGGTCAGGTCATGCTCAATTATTCTCCCATTTTCCGCTGACCGTCTCTGCTCACAAGCGTGGAACTGATTGTCGCATTTCTCCTTTTTTAAAAACTGCTCTATAAGCCATCTAAGTGCGCACTTATGACGAATTTTTCCGCCTCTAGTGGAATCCGAAACGACTGAGGCGATTGGACGCTCCGCCAAGGCTCTGGGCTCTCTCTCAGACACACATTTTGAGATCGCCTTCAACCCAGATGTATACCAGTCATCTATCACCTTCGCCAAGTCTGAGGTTAGTTGCTTCACAACTCATTGTTTCCCGTTTCTGGAATTTATTAATCAGTGCCGCAGCCGTGATCGTACCTAAGCTGCCCAGCCACACGTGACAGTCTGCAGCAGCAGATCTAGAGCTCGACTCACTCGTCCGGCGACGGAGGCCGAACACAGAAGGTCTATGTCTCAGCGAAATGTGTCGAGCCAGACTCGGAGTTGACCTCCAGGTGGGCAGCGGTGCCGGATCGAGAGCAGGAACACGTAGCTCATGAGATGGACGACGAAGAACGTGCCCAAACCACCTCAGCCGTCTTTCTTGAATGACCTGATATATCCTCGCCATGTTGTCACAGTGAGTGCGGACTATCTCATTCGAAACCAGGTCAGTGTACTTGGCTCGAAGGATGATTCTCAGGCAGTGGTAGTCAAACACCTCCAGTTTTTGTCCATTTTACGTGCACAACTCAGCATTCACAGTCGTATAGGAGAACTGACTCGACAAGTGCCTGATGTATGCGCATCTTTGTGGCTATGGAGATATCGTGTCGAGTTCATAGACGTTTTCTAGGCACTGTGAAAGCCCCACAAGCAGCATTTATTCGGGTGACGATATCGTCCTTACTCTGTCCATTCAGCAGTAACCTTGTCCCAAGGTACTTGAAGCTGTCTACTCCAAGTTGACAGCTGTTCTGAGGTGCTTTTTCGTTGCCAGAGATATCACTCGAGAACGGCGTTTATGGATAAGCCGGTCCATCTAACAGCTTCATTTACCCGCGGCACAGCTTGTAGACCGCCAACTCTTAGGGCTGGCACAACGGTGTCACCAGCGTAATCAAGATCAGTTAGCCGGCACCCGAGTGCAAAGTAAACACCAATAAAAGGGTGTAGGGGCTTCCGAGAGTCAAGTCAATGGCGTAGTTTGTTGAAATGGGTCGCAGAATACAGCCGGGTCAGGCCTAATATCGGATGCTGGGATCACATGAAACTGCATAGGCTGGAGAGAGATAAAACTTTGCTGCAGAGACAGGGGGTAATTGGATGGTAATCGAGATTGATAGTGTTCGCGTCAGCTCACGACCTTGGCCGAGTTGTCAGCAATAATACTGCCATTCACATCGCAAACAGAGTTACTCTGTGCTGTTGGTTTACCACTAATTTAACGAATAATCCGATAAAGTTTCGACCTATCACTGACGTTTGAGGCCTGTACCACGGGTTCGCTATTTCGACCCAGTAGTTTTTGCGGTCGTCCATAACGGCCTTCTGTCGCTTTCGGGGTTGGCGGACAGTAATCGTTGTGGGACCCAGTTCGAGCCTTCTGAGCAGATCACTGCAGATTCATCCGCGTGATCAGTCACTGCAACGCCGCTGAATTTTCTCAGCTGCTTCATAAACTGGTGACTTCGACCCTCTCTTTTGACTCACGTCACAGAGCGAGAACGAATTTCTGAAATCAGGGCTTTGGCTGTTCTGGTTTGTCGTGGTTTGGCGGCATAAGGACGTTTTGCACGTGAAAACTTTGGTGCAGGTGAGAGGTGAACTTTCCGGTATTGTAAGAAGGAGGATATGACCCGTGAGCATTACCAGTCTTAGCGTCACACAACAATCTATCATGAAGTCAGCCGCAGAATCTTGAACCAACTAGAATGTAGCCAGTATTACTGGTTGTGCGGCCGTCGTTTGAATACCAGGTCAGCAAATGTTTATGGCAGTGCCGGAAACACGTGCCAGTGACACACAGGCGGTTCTGGTCAACACGATTAATTCTCTCACCATCGTCGCCTCGAAAGCCGCCTAAAGAGGTCAATAAGGTGACCGAAGAGTTGCCGGTTCAGTCCTTCGACTAACTGTTACATCTACAAGTAGGTTTTCTTATCATACTGACCGACAAAAATGTTCGTAAAGTGACCTTAAATATCACATTAGCCATCCTGCCATTGACTGGTTCCCGCCCGAAACAATGCATGGCTCGCTTCTCACCAGAAGACGATCGTCACACCGCGTCTACCAGCAGGATCCCATGAGCCGCCATGGTATAGGGTGAAGTTGAAGCTTTTTCCGGAATATTGATTTCCCGAGGGTCTGAGTCGGTGATTCAGACTTCAGACAGACAGCTAACAGCCACTTTGCACTGCTGAGGACTTTTCGCTGTCAGAAGTTAGTTAGCAGGGTCCCGAAACGTCCGCACATTCCAGCACACAATGCTTCGAGTCCGTTACCGAGTGAGTAGTCCAACCCGCATACCATTGGATGCGGAGCGCGTCGTTTCCTGCGGACACTAGCCTGAGTCCTGCCGTAGAGCACAGGAGCCTTGTTCAGCATTGGACCGAACCCTGTTGGCCCGACTTCTTTGGGTTTCAAGGGCAAAACTAGTTCGAGACTTCAGATGGATTCGGGCGTACGGCTTACCTCACACAAAGGCTTCGCCTACTTGTTTCACAATTTAGCAGTTCTCTCGTTCAGGCCTCACACATTCACCAGCGTTAGGAATATGCACCGGTTTCTTTTGTGCTTCAGTGGGTTTATAAAGGAAAACCCTAGGAGCTAAGATTATGCACAGTTTCCGACCTACATGTACCTCAGCGGACTACTGGGTTGTACAATTAAAAGCACTCCACACACGGATAAATATATACATGAGAATTTCCTTCGAAAGCGTACTGGGGAGTCGTTGTAACCTGGCTCGGTCTTCTGAACCAAGTTACTTCTGCTCATGAATTTCGGAGGTGCCGTGAGTTAAACGAATATGAATTGTTGATTGCCACGAGGACTTGCGAAATATTGGTCTTCACCTATCCCTATTTGCCACTTATTTCAATTTCAGGGCTAGGTCACGACATAGAAGAAAGCCTGTCCAGTGTACGCGTGTCCCAACCATTTGGTGGTCTCAGTCTAACCAGATTTCATTAAAATACTTACATTTTTTACGGTATCGAAGCCCTGCTACGCAGGTCTGACGCCCTGTCACCGTCGACATTAGTGGCCTCAGAGGACAAGCCCCATGTCACGCATGCGACATGCGTCTAGGTAAAGGCTTTGGGTTCCGTCAGCGACTGTGTACAGCCCCACCTATCCTTGACCCGACCATCGGTTGGGCTTATAAATTAGGAAGGAGACCAATAAAAGGGAAGGGGAGAGATCAGTCCTCACAATGGACAGTCGAAGGGCGCTAAAAGTCGTAGCTTGGAAGGCTGCCAACTGACGACAAAAGTCTGTTCCGCGGATACGATGGCCTGGCAGCTGTGGCTCCTTATTGTAGATTTTATCGCAACTCCCCAATGGGAAATCCGAAACCCTTCTGTCGAAGTCCAATTTGTTGTGTGTTGCCTGCACAAATGTTGGTTTGATCCCGTTGGCTTTGCTTCCCCATTCCAAAGGCCAAAACACACTGAAAATTGCTCGATTATTTACAGCAGAGCCAGGGTGGTACCTATCATGAGATTTTCATTGTTCTTTTCCCGATTGTCGACGGTGAGGTTGCCATCTTCGTGCAATCGATCCTGACTTTACTTCATGCATTCCCTGGTGGGGGGGGGGTCGTTGGGTTCCGCCATCCCCCTATCACGGACCTTGATGATTGTCGGGCTGTTTCGGACCGCCATAGTCGAAAGGTGACGATAGATTTACCTAGACAGAAAGTTTGTTTGAATGATACCTCAGAAGCTTTTTAGAAGTCGACTCGGAGTCTCGAGTCAACAGACTACACTTTTACAATTCTAACACTGTTTAGTTTTTGTCTCGTGCTTTGTCGGCTGAACACAAATAACTGCGCATCCCCTCTCCTCCCTAGGAGATCGCCGTCAAGAAGGATGAGAAGCTGGTGTGCGAAGTCTGCGAGTTCCTTGTCCTCACCCAAATCCCGGCCTTTATTCAGGACTGCCTGGCCTTCACGGTTATGCCACAGGACGGACGCGCCCTTGTTGAAACACTTCACCAGAGGTAAACTAGGTGGTTTTCCTTTTCTCCTTCCAGTACTGGTTTTGTGTGCGCTTGTGTTCAGTTGGCCAGTAGTGCTCGTTAATAATTCATTTAATGGACCCTCTGGACCTGAAATTCCCCCGTTGAGAAGCCCCTCTGATTGTGCTGCTTACAGCATAATACGCGATTGTCATTGTATTTCGTGGCTGACCCTCCATAGTGGAAAGATCCATTGACATAGACCTTGATCGAGACCCAATTGTTTTGTTTTTACCTTCTCATGGGGATTCAGTCTAAAATCCACAACAGCTTCCGGCGTTTCTTATCCGAGCCGACAACATTCGTAATCCGATTTATATGATAAAAGCAAGGCTATAGAAACAAACATTCGATGGAAGGAGGCGAATTAAAAGGACCTTTGATTGTTTTTCATCCCTTGAGTAATGTAGGCGTCTTGACACATTTTGTGCACTTATTTTCCGTCGAGTCACACATACATTTGAAGACCCACTGCCTTTCTATGTCACTGGTAAATAACTTCAAGGCTTTCGTTACTGTGTTTATGGAAAGCTACCACTATGCAACCAAAGGTAGCCGTGTCCAAAAGTGCATAGAGGACACGAGAAAGTCTCGAAACCTCCCGGGAATTCTGCTATCTGAGACTAACCTACAACCACACTGACTTATTTGTGCTGTTGAAGAATAATGAGTGGAAGTTGTTTTTTTACGTGGGGCGACAAATCACGATAAATCAACACTCTCTTACTTCTATTTCGTCGTCTGTTTTTTGTCTCTCAGGGGTATCAACGTGCGCTATCTTAATCGTGTAATAGAAGCTCTCGCGGAGAAGTCAAATCTTGCCTACCTCCACGTAAGTTGCCTGGCTTTCCTAAAATTGTTTCGTCTGGGCACGGCATTTTTATCGCCGTCAACTTCCTGGTTATGTCGTAACAACCTTGGATATACCTACGTGACCTACACTTGGTACACGAATATCAGCATCCCCATTACCGTCAACTAACTTCCATCTTCCACTTGTTTTGCTTGTCTGCAATATCTGCCCATTAAAAGTAAAGTGCTGTTAAGAGGACCCACAACGTAAGCATTGCCCTGACTTTTCGCAGCGTCTGGCCGTCTCAGAAGTGCTTATCCGATCAACAAAACATATCTTCAAGACGTACGCTCAAGAGGTGGATCCGATGTTTCTCTCGGCTGCCGTTGCGCATTTTCTCAACTGCTTCCTCACCACATGCCCCAACCTCTCGCCCCTGGCTGGCGTAGACGAGGTAAGTTTGTGTGCCTTCAACTTAGTTGATTTCTATTTAGCTGACTACAGTTTGCCACACACACAATTGCTCGAGGTATTTGCTCCTGTAACTGCCTGGTTTCCGTGGGCGTGCGCGGCGTCGAATGCCTTTCCGCCTGTTCATCTCTTACCTGGTCATTTTCGCCGGCGGCCTGGCCCGCGTGCCCTCGACGCGCGCGCGCGCGCGCGCTCATCAGTCCTGACTAAGCAAGTCCACCGTGGTATTGGGCGTGCCCTCTGTCGTTGTAATGACCTTAGTGGTAGCTTCATATGTCCTGACCGGGTGGATAAAAGAGGACGGTGAGATACGAGAGAAATCTGTTTACTCCACCAACCTGAATAACACGACGTTGAACGTGTTAAGATCCACCTTATTCATTCGACTCTAGAACATCCGGGACTCTGGCGCGATACTTCTGGACTGGCTGTTTCCTGCACGACAATTCCCTCCTGGGTAAATCCCGAATGTTCGGCCTCCTGCTGGGTGGATGATCTAGCACACGCTGATTGGCTAGCTGGTTTCACGCTCGCATTTTCCAGCCGGTTTGGTTTGCTGTGTGCCGTGCGTGGCCGCGTTTTCACTTTGCTTTGGCTCGTGCGACATCATTGTGTTTCCTTCTCCACAGCAAGCTTATAACTATTCTGGCTGCGAATAAACAACTGTGCCTTACAGCGTGGGGAGCATGGGAACCCAGGCAGCGGAAGCGGTTCTTTTAGCTGTCAAGGTCTTTATTTCCTTCTGTGGAGAAACTCGGTATTAGTACATCGTCTGTTCAATGAAGGCTCGTTCGGCTTCTTACAGTGTGTCCTAAGGGAGTGAGCAACGAGTCCACCTGCTTGTCTGTTGGAATTTTTTTCCACATGTCGTTGCCGACTGTTTTCCTTTCCACTTGCCTCCTTGAAAACAGCACTTTGTTTGATATTCAGCTTGTCAGAAAGAGAGAAGAGAGCGTGCCATCAGGTCCCCTGTATTTATAATTATAAAGTAAAGCGGAGGTTTATTCCTCTCGTCGTTGTTTTTGCCCTACACGCTACCTTTTGCTTCCCCCAACCTTGCCGCTGGCGTATTCGACACCCAAATACTAGTCTACTGAATATTGAAGCGTAGTGCTTATTGCTGTGACAAAAGTGTACTTTCTGCTTTGCTTCCATAGCAAGTTCAAAAACTGAAGAACAAGAAGGGCAAGAAACGTGGCGGTAAGCAAACACGCGAGTGTTCCGGTGAGTAAAAGCCCCAGCCTCTTGTGTTTTCTTAATCTGCATATCCGTGTTTATCGGAGTTATTCATATTTTTTGCGTTTTGATTTATAGAAGACATGTCATGGACAAATGAAACCAGTGCCTCGCTGTGGGCTCGCCTGAACAAGGAAGTGAAAGAGTATTATCACATCGACCTTGAGCTGTGAGTCGATTTAGTTTGTAAGGTCGTGCGAACCTAATCAGTCGAATTTCCTCAATTGCTATCGTTGACGTATGTTCTTAAGCGTATTTACCTACAAATTGCCATGCAAGTCTTCCGTCAGTTGGTCCTGTGGCTGTTTCTCGAGTTGCGGGGGGTCGAGCTGCTGGGCTACTAGTCGTTGACTTCGTTCTGGCCTTTAATTCGTTAGTGCTTCGCGCAATGCCTTCGGATCTATTGACAACCAACAGCATCAAATTCACTGTGCCCGGCCTAGCGCTGAATTGTCCCGTCGGCGGCGGAAAAGACTAGGAGTAAGGCCCGCGCCTTCTACCACGTCAGTTGCAACTGTTGGCAGCGTATCCGGATATCAGTTCTGAGGGAAAAGAAAAAAAGGGAAAAATTAACAATAACAGTCTCATATAGACATACTTACAGTGTGTATTTTGATGATGCATGCCCCTGCCACATTGGTCGCGGTAACATAACACAAACAATAACAAACCCTTCATTATACAGGTTATGTGATATATCATACTTGGCAGCACAGGTGCAAGCTGAAAGCCCAGACACGTGTTTCACCGATATTCTGTCGTACCATGACTCAACAGGAAGGGGTTCGGCCCATCAGTGGTCCCTCCCAGTGCTCCCCATGGGTATCCTGGTAGATACTCCGGCTTTGAAATTGCGTCCTAATTTTCTTTAGAAATTGACCACTGACTTAGAATAAGTCAGTCTGAACTAGACTTTTTACACTGACCTTTCTTCAAAAAAAGCTTGTAAAGATAGCGCAAAACCGCCTTTTACTTGAAGTTTAAGCCTTAATGAAATTCAACCACATTAGGCGCAGCTGGGGGTTTTCTACACTTCGTAACCGATAATAAGTGTTTCACGGCAGGGGAGTGGGGAATTAACGTTGTACAGGTTTGAAAGAAAGTTGTGATCGAGCCGCCGCGCTCGAAAACTTGAGCATAATTTTATGTCCAGATGGAAGTCGGTAGGACACCGCACTAGAACCCTCTCCATAATGAAAGTGGCATTGTGCTAAATTCCATGGAGGTTAGGGTTAGTGTTTGGGTCAGGGTTGGTGTTAGGGTTAGGTTTTGGTATTAAGTACTTCCCCTTGTATTTGGCGCAGGGCCACCTGCATTACCGAGGCGGGTCCTTATTCCTGTGTCCTACCTGTAAGCCCTATCTCATCTGTGTAGTCCGCCTTATTGCAGCTCGAAGCTTTTGGATGTTGTGCCACACTTCGCCAACCCACTGGACGTTTACCTCATCTGGAAGTGTGCTCCTTGAAGAGGAAATGACGGCTAGAGTCACATGACAACGTTACGTCCCATAATCACCACAGAATGTCGTACTGCATCATGAATCGCCTCTAAGCTTGTTCGCGGTGGTCCTCTGAGTCGCACTAATCTTTCGACTCATCTATTCATACCAGTGCTGTTCCTCGTGTACCTACCCAGCTATAGTGCCAACTTATGACAGTTTTAAATGCCTCCAACACGCGTTTGAAAGACAATGTTGCAAATGATCTGTCTTTCTTGGGTGCATCAAGGAATAAGTGAAAGGCAGAGGTTCCTTTCCACGCCAAAGTTACACCCCATGCGGCACGAACCTGTTTGTTTTTTTTTTACTTCATAAACCTTTATCCCATTTATCTGCCTCAAAACGCCCACAGGACAAATATTGACGACTTCTGCCAGAAACACGGTGTTTCTCGCACCCAGATACTTCGCTCTTTTTGCCACTCGGTGGGTATCCAGTTGACCCTTCGGGAGTATTCCCTGCAGCCTCCAAACGGAGCCAAACACCACCAACGCCCCGTTTTCACCCTTGAGGACGTCACCATGCTGTTCCCATTGGTCAAGCATCTCCACCCACACGCGACTGATGCCTACACCTTCTTTAACACTGGACAGGCCCGCATTTCTGCTGGTTACTTACAGGAAGGCTTTGAGCTCATTTCTGAGGCCTTGAACTTGTTGAACACCGTATACGGCCCACTTCATCCGGACATTGGCGCCTGTAACCGTCTACTTGCGCGTCTCTCCTACGTACTGGGTGAGCATGAGGCGGCGTTACTCTTCCAACAGCGTGCTACGATGATCAGTGAACGCGTGCATGGTATCGACAGCCCTAGCACGGCCGCGGAATATGTAAGTGGAAGGAGGGTAGTCTGGGTGTCCGACCCAAATCTCCACCCTTTTGGTTTTTTACGCATAAGTTCCGCGCACGTGCCCAATATCAGGCTATGTCGCACGCCAAGGACGCCGCGACCTCGGCGCTGTCTATCTTGTTGCCATGTATGGTCTCCTTTATTATATTGCTCTAGGGAGCTGTGCTTTGTAATCTTTTGAAAGAGCTGGAGGACCTGTATTCTTACCGCCATCTCTTAATCTTTCTGCAGATCCATATGGCGCTATATTGTTTCGCATGTGGTCACATCCATCCAGCATTCCAATTGCTGTATCGGGCTCGATATCTGGCTCTGTTATGCCACGGTGAAGACCACCCAGAAATCGCTCAGATTGATGTGAGTTTCCCGTTTTCCAGCCCCTTCGCCTTTCAAACACACCTCTGTAAAGCTGCCTAGTGCGAGGACTGAAACTCAAGACACGGGCTGGTGCCCTTAACTAGGCTTTGTGGTATAATATCGTTTTCACATGAGAGTACCATACTGACAGGTCGTCAGCGTGGTCCTACCTTAGTTTATAAACTGCGACTCATTCTCACATATTCTTCCGACCACCTAAAATAATCCTACTCAATAAAGCACAACGAGTGCGTGCTTATCCATCTCTGACGCAAGGATTTCTAGAATTGTAGCCACCCTGGTGATTAAACTATTCCTTGGAGTCCTTGGCGTCCAGCCTTTCGGGCGTTCACCAGAGCTTGTTGTCTGTGACAACTAATTATACGTGTGGTCTGTGTACTGGTTTGTTGTCGTTTGGACGAAGTTCGATCGCTGGGAATGTTGGCGTGCTTGTTTGGCGCTCATTTTGTGGAAAATTACGGTAACAAGTGTTCTCCTTGAAGAAACGGTATCATTCAGCTTTAAAACGTTTGTAATTATGTGCATTTTAAGATCATGAAATTTCCTTTTAAATAGCTTCGTGTTTGTCCGTTTACCAATGCTCCGCATGAAGTGCACAGCATAGTCCGTGCCAATTGCGAACTTTTATGGGCAACATATGGCACCTTGATACCATTTGGGAACGTATGGTTTTTTACTAGGAAAGTGTACAGCTTGTAATTTGGAATTCCTAGATACAGGTGCGACGATAGGTCTAGTTAAGAATTTTTTCGGGAATTAAATGATTTTAAAGCAGGTTAATGTCCGTTCTTCGGGTGCAAAGTTTGAAGAAGTGAGTTCCAACAAGATTACTATAACGAAATGCATGCTACCGACATTAAAATCACTCTCGCGTAATCCTTCCTAACCGAAATTACCTTTCAAAACTTCGTTTAATGTTTCGTAGGGTACGTCGCCTGCCATACGTACAATAGCTCGCCTATCTCATGAAGTGTTAGTCGACTAGAAAGGATGACCCAAGTGGGGCTGTAATATCGATTATCGTGCAGAATAACTCAGAGATATTTTAGTCGCGCCAGGATACCCGCTTTCCAATGAGCTTCCCATCGGCCGCCTGCAACGACAACACTCGGTAAAAAACAGCTATTCACGTAGAGAAATTTCTCATTAATTCTGGGTGTTCAAATGAATTCGAGCCTATTTTGTAGGCACACAAATATACTGTTTCGTTTTCATTTGGTAGAAAATTACACCCTCTTCAGATTTTATACTCAAGAAAGGGTATTTTTCTGATTGTGGGATTTTTTAAGACCATGGAATGTACATTTACAAACCATCGTATCTGTCTATATATTAGTGCTGCTTATGAAGTATAACAGTTCAACCGTCGATTCCGACGATGCCTACCATGGACCGCACAGCAGGGTAGGCGCAGAGAAGGAAACATACACGTGAATTAGTTTGTGGTGATAGTGGACCTGCGCAGCATCTATCGCACTCTAATCTTCCTCTATCTGGACTCGGTATTAAGATGACCGATGGCGGGAGAAAGCGCAGGTGATTAGCTCGGCGTGAGCCTGCACCTAGGTGTGCCACCACACCCCACGGTCCACGCACAACGGACCGGGATTTCACACAACAAGAAGGGGCGGGATTGGGAGATTGGGGGAGATTGCTGATTGGAGATAAGAACAGCCCGTCTGCTCGGGCCACACACATAATCCGCCGGCCTGCACAAACACCAGGATTTCACGCAAAGAGGACGGACTTTTTAGATCTCACATGCAGTAGAGACGCCACGTGGACAAGGAGCCGAGAAACGCACTTCTCACTTACGCGAGATGTGCCTACCTCGTGCCTGCGGTGTGTGATGTTGGTGTCCGTGTGGTGCATGTATTAATGCGGAAGTGTGTTCTGATGAGATCGGGTCTGTGGTAATTTACTGCAGCTTTTCACGAAGACGCATGTGACCGAATAGGTCCATGCAATGGCGGAATTTGCGTGGACAGTGCAGACGTTTGAGACGGTGACGATGGGTGTATGTTGGTGCTTCAGACACTCGTTCGCCAGTCTCTGCACGATGCATTAACAAATGGCCTACGAGGTCGAAGCGTGGTGTGCACGTGCGGTGGCCATGCAGGCAGGATAGTTTGAGAGCTGCTAAGTCGGTGGTGATGATGACGCCAATGCTAGTGCTGGTCGCGCTGTTGGAAGAGGATTTGACAGTGCTGGAGATGGGAGAGTTGTTGGATGTGCAAGGTGGGCTTTGTTTGTCGATATTGCGGTGAAATACGGCTGTTGTGGATACGCACGTGGCCAAACATGTCCACTTGCTGAGTGAACGTGGGTGGGCAGTGCGGACAGTGGAGGCGGATGCGGCAAGAGCATGTGGGGTTCCCGGCGTTGGTGTGCCGGTCACAGTGCGATGGATTCGCAAGTGACCTAACAGTTCGGTGTGTGACATGAATGTGCAATCACAATGACGAATGGTGGCGATGGAGTCCACCTTGCTGGTGGCAGGGGAAGGTAGTGCTGAAGGTCATGGTTGGCGGAGCGTCGGGAGTGGTCTCATCGATGGTTGGTTAGAAGTCTAACGCCTCTAACCACTGACCCACGGGCTCCTTGTCCTGCCGGTTGCGATCGTTCTTTAGAGTGACCTTGTGACGGCGTGCTTGTCCTTCTTGTCGAGCACTCGTAGCGACATCCTCATTGAAGAGTCGTTTGGGTAATCGTTCATCGTCCATCCTCATGAGGTGGCTGCTCCACCGCGGTTGCAGTTGCCTCAGCATGGCGTGGATGATGATGATTCCGGTCCGTTCCAAGATTTCTGTGTCCGGGGACCTCGTTTTGCCACCTCAGCATTAGTATTCTACGGAGACAGATTAGGTGGAAGTGATTGAGATTCCTGGCTTGATTAAACTGATGGTCCATGTCTCCGCCTAGTATACTTGGCTTGTCAGTACTACCGCCCTGTTTGGTGTTGAGGTGGATACCGTAACTATTTCACGACGAGTTCTGCAACCGGTCGAATGCCTGGCTGGCTTTGGAGATCCGATGGACCTTGTCGTTGTCGATGTTGACGTTGCGTTAGTGTCCTACTTAAATAAGCGGACTTGCGTACGGTTTTGGAAATGGTGCCGTTGACAGTGATGCGTTGACGTTGTATTCAGTGTCGGATGACGGCTGATGCACGACCACTGTTTTGTCTGCGTTGGTCAGCCCGAAGTTTGGTGTTGCCGGGGGCGAAAAGGCCCATGTTCCGTTGCATGTCCGGTTCTGTCGTCCGCGAAGAGCAGGTCGTGGACGGTAGTGGTGGAGAGACGCTTTGGAGCCTGCATCCGTCGGCTACCGAGATGGCCGTCGATACTGTAGACAATGAATGTCCCAGGATGTTTATCGCGATAGGCGTCCATCAGCACGTCCTTGAACATGATACCTCTCGATATACGCTCATTACGTTGACTTCTTTTCTGCAGTTTTGCTTTTAGATCGGCTACTTAGTAAGTAGGGCTGTCACACGCATATTCTCTTGTTTCTATGTAGTGCCTTTTGTCTAATGAACTGTAGGTTATCGTCCTTCACATTACGCTGAATCTGTCTGATCATGCCACTTTTTCTTCCGACCCAGGTGAACATCAGTCTCATGCTGCACGCCGTGGAGCAGTTCGACACCGCCGTAGTTTTCCTCGAGAACGCCCTCCGGTTAAGCAAAATGTACTTACCTCATTCTGCTTGCACATTATCGCTCTTGATACCATTTGACCGTTCTTTGCTAAGCTAGAGCACGCAACCAAACCTTTAACCGCAAACATTCTCCCCCCCCCGCCTCAGATTCTACGGCCCAAAGAGTCTGAAGGTGGCCTTCAACTGCCATCTGCTGAGCCAGACGCACGCCTACCGCGGAGACTTCCGCTCGGCACTGGACTTCGAGAAACAACGGTACTCCATCTACAGAGAGCGTTTCGGCGATGACAGCGACTACACCCGTGACAGCGATGAGTGCCTACGCACTTTGACCACTCAGGCAGTGAACATGGCGCGCCGCTTCCAGCAGTCCGGCACCGCGGCCGCCACCGCTGTTACCAACGGCAGTGCTACTGGCAGTGCCGCAAATAAGCAGAATTCCCTCCAAGTGGGACGAAGGCCGGGCCAGGAGGGCCACGTGGCGGCCACATCGACTGCCTCATTCCAGTTGCCCAGCTTCGTCACCATTCTGGATACACTGAATCGCGTGAATGGCATCTTCTACCTTCAACTCAGGTGAAATCGTGTGAAAATCTCGTGCTTAAGTTGACGCGAAGTCAACGTTGCCTTATTGTTTTTTATTCGCCCATCTTAGTGTCTGTGTGCGTGCGCACAGAGTCTGCATGAATTAATTGCCGTGCATGCATGTGGGAAACATTAAATGAGGACTCACGCCGTGCCAGCCGAACTGTGGGTTAGACTGCGGTAGCTCTTTGTTAACGCGGCTGTGCGAGATCTGAGTCCTTGTGCGGCGGCATGCGTTAGACGGCGACTTCGTGTCACGTCAACTACTGCACTGAATCTGATTGTCAGTCGATTTGAATCGCACAGGCCATTGGGGCATTAGCGATAGGGGATAGAGAAAGTTCGATCCAACGCCTAAGCCTTTCACTATAGGAAATCTAACGTGCCATGAATCTGTTACAACACGACAGTTGCGTTTTGAGGTGCTCCCACCTGACGGACATCTCGGTCCTCCTCAGAAATGGGAAACAGACTGCTGCAACTCCTCACGGCACTCCCTCATGTGAGATCCACGAATTCACTTCCCTTGAAACCCAACGGGTGTGGAATTAAGCACTAGGTCGTGTGTGTGTGGTACGCGTAGACGAACTGTTCAGTTTTCTCAAACACTGCGTCTAGCATGTCATGGTTGCCATCGGAACACGCCAAGCGTGTGAAGGGGGGTGTATGGCATATGAAGCGCAGGTCCGCCCCACTGTAAACAACTTCATGCTCGAGCCACTACTGCGTCTTGTGCGCGACGGTGGTGAACCTCCTATTTCGCCACGACCGAACTATCCTATTGTGTGTGAGTAGTTGTGTGCTCGTCTGCGCCCTCAGCGCAGGCCGCGCTGGACCATAACAAGAGCCGAGTTGGTTCGTGGCACACGTTAATCGGATGCGCGGTGTCCGCACATCCCGTGATTACTTCCGCACATGGGGGTGGCGGTGACACACCTAAGTGTAGCCTTCATGCCGCGGCAGCCACTGCGCCCATCTCCAACACCAGCTGAACGTCAAGCTTGGACAACAGACTGGTGCATGGGAGAGGGAAGAGAGTGCGGCCGACCCTGTGGAATCCATCCTTACGGTATTTTGAGCGCAGTCCTAATTGTAATAAATCTGGCACGCTTGAATCTATCATGGATCACTGGGGGTCATGGCTTGGAAGGCTACCAACTGACTGGGTAAGTCGGTCCCCGAGACGACGAGTCAGGCTGCAATTGCTTCGTCGTATAGCCTCCAAAGCACACCCGCATAGGTGAGATCCGAGCCGCATCCTTCCATTTAAACCTGATGCATCTCTGCGAGGACCAGGTCGTGTGTGAAGTGCGCAGACTGACTGTTTAACTTTGTCAGCCATTGCGCTCGAGCCCGTCCCCAGCTGGGAAAGGCGAAGTGCGGCAGATGTTCCGGAGGTCGGCAGGAATGTACCTTTGCGCTTGTAGACAAACTCCCCTAGTAGACATACCAAAACTTACTGTCACGTCGGGGTAATATGCCGGAAGTTGTCTACGAATCCTTTGGATCGCCTAGACCAGAAAAAAAGCTAGATTAGGCCGTTCACTCCGACTTGGATTCTTGTTCTGGGACAGTGCGCTCGAGTTAGCCGCGACAGCTTCAGCAAAGTGCCATCAGGCAATGTAAGCCAAATGCGGCGGCAGTCCATGGTACACGCAAGTGAGCTGTTTTTGTCGGCAGGGGGCGAAAAATAACTCTCCGATGGGCATTTTCAGACTTTGCGAAGTCGTGATCCCTGCCGATTTTTCATTTCGGTGGTTGTGGCTTTTGTCTGAGATCATGGCAGTAAAAGTCTATTGTTGCCTCGTGCATACTTGTCCTGCCCGCCAAACACTTCGCTAAACATAGCGCAGCTGTTGCCGGAGACAGCGGGTGACTGCTTATGATCAAACCGGTTAAAACCACTATCTTTAATGAGACTCGTATGCTTTAGCGACTGTGGCACTAAGTCCGCGTTCAGAGGTCGCGGCCCCCAGGAAAATTTACAACCGCTCAATCGAAGAGTTCCTTATTCAAAAGATAAGCCCCTGCACATGACAATAGGAGAAATCGTTCAGGGTTGGGCAGCATGGTTGGATTAATTATCATATCAGATATTTGGACAAAGATCGGAATAAAAGCTTTGACAGTGCGGTTGTGGAAGGTAGTATCGACTAAATTTTTATAGGCAAACAAGCAGGTATCTTTCCATGTGCCGTTAACGGGACTTTGGTGCTAAATTCTCCGCGCCCCTGTTGACTTTCAACTCCCCGATCTACGATCGAAGACCGTCATTTCGTCCATCCGTTCCATTTGCGCAAACCACCACCTGGACTGAGGTGGGCTGCTTCTTACGTAGACTTAGTCGCCAAAAAACCTTGCGCCATCAACCCCATTCTTGGATTCCATAAGCAGGACGCGGTTAGGACTGCGGGGGTATGATACTGGACATTTTACTGCTATGCTCAAGGACACGCAAATTGTGCCGCAACTGGTTAGGATTTTCGTCAATGACAATGAGTGATAGGCTGAACACGTGACACTTAGACCGTTAAAATACGGTTAAATATTTCCTGTTTTTGAGCCACTGCTTCTGCGCCGCCGCTAGTTTTTACCGCCTCCCCTGCTTTCCCTTGACATTACCCCGACATCTACGCTTGCTTTCTCTGTCGCTGGAGAAGCCTTATGGACGCTGGTCATCGTCGAGGGATAGATACAGTGACATAGTGAGCCGTATCGCTCTCACCGAGGCCCATTTTCATCCTGACTATCTCGTGTTAGACTTTGAAAGCACCTAATCCCCAAAGCCCTCCAGAAAATTTCGGGTGACTTATTTTGCCTTTCCCATACGAACGGCCTGCCTTCTAGTCGGAGAAACTAGGCCTGACATCATTATAAAATGCAAGCAGCCTCAGAAACAGCCACAGGAAATACGTCTTGTGAAGCTGTTCATTTTCCCCTCTCATGTTGTGCCTACGACTGTCCCGATTCTTCAGCTGGAGTTCACAGGAATCTGGAAAATTATAAAGGTTTTTTTAGACCTGGAGGCTTGCATTCTAACACTTAATGGGTGTTCTTTTTGTCCCCTTATAGCCAATCGACTTCGGCCAAGAAGGAGAGTGGGAATACGTCCAGCGTGAAGATTACGCCCTGCGTGGAGGGTGATGAGCCACAGCCTTCGTCAACGCCAATGGCCACCAGTGTCTCATCGTGATTACTGAGCTATTCTGTCCCACCGACCTCATTCAACGACTTCCCCTTTTTTTTCCAAGCAGACCTTCTTAGAACAACACCTCAGTCCGCCCGTCCACTTCAGCATTGTGATTCAGGCTACGTCTTTTTACGGCAGTTCACTTAAACCGCCCCCCCCCTCCCATCCCCTGTCTCCTGTAACTACTACGTGCGAGCCCGACTCAGGCGTCTTCCTGTCCCCTGCGTCGGCCCTTGTGGAATCGTGATTTGTAGATTACCAATTTTTCCTTTTACCAGTGCTTGTACGTATATACGTAGTAGGAGTTTTTTTAGTAGTTTTACAAATGCAATTAGTGCAGTCAGTAAATTTTTACAAGAGGATGCCTTCTTAACTCTTCACCGTCCGAAGGGTTTTTGGGAGCCAATTAACAGCTGGGGCGGGACTGCATCATCCCCTCCCCTCCCTGCCAGCAAGTATTACTGGTTTAGATGCGGCCGACTCCGATTCCAGTGCATAGTATGTCAGTCGCAGCCTCATATGACCACACGAAGTAAGGTCGGGGCGTTGGGGCAGTCATCAGTCACATCTGTCAGAGATGTCCACTTTTTTTTCTGCTGTTCCCAGGTGCGTCTCCCCAAGTGGACTCCCTCAGCCCTTACAATGGTCGAGCGTCTCTCTTGCCCAAAGCCACTGGTCAGCGGTAGTCCCACAGTCCTGAACGGCCGTGGGACATGCTTGATTTCCCTGAATGCGATTGACGTGATCTTGTGGTGGGGATCCGGGGAGAATTCCATCCTTTCCGCTCCGTCAGGGGGACAGGGTCTAGTTGGCGGAAAAGCGTGAAAGACTCATGCACTAGACTAATTGACGTGATGACAGAATTATGGACGGGTGGGAAGTTCGTCCGGCTCAGGTAACAAGGCCACCACTGCCGCGGAGGGGGGTGCAGTAGGTAGCGACCCACGCATGGATCTAGTTGTGGTCAGCTGACTTGCTCTGCATTACCGCACGCGTCTTCTCTACAACCAACGGGGTCAAATGACGATTTGAGAGGAACGGTGATGAAAGTGGACGTAGTGGCTGGCGGGACTCAGATCATGCCTGCACGCACCACACGTGTTGGCACCCAGCCCTGCATGGATATCACAGATGAGAGTGCCATGGCGGTTAAAATAAGAGGGAAGAATTACATTCTGAACTCCGGTCGCTCTCTTCCGTGCACCAGTATTTGGTCCGAATCGAACCGACCGGGGATGAGACTGGACTCAGTGCCTGACGTTATGAGAGGTCTCTGTTTACCACGTGTGCGGCGTGTTTCCCATCGCTGCCGATGGACGATCCCACCTCAGGATGCTTGTGCGAGCAACGGTGATGGTTCAGCGATTGCTTTTGTGTGCGCATCTGATCGGATAGGTCATGCGGTGCCAGTGTTGACAGCTAAGGCGGGCTTGACAGGGTTTCTGATGATGACTCACACATTGCTGTGAGGGATACGTAGGTGTCCGTCAAGGGTCCGGATGTTGGTACCGTTTGTCTGGCTACTGCCTAATTGCGATAGACTCCGCGTGGGTAGGTAAACCAGCGTGATCTGTTTTCTTTTGACGGAAGCAGTGCAGTTGCCTGAGCGATCGGCTGTGACATTATCAGAGAAGACTGATGGTTGCGGTTCGCCCTACCGACCTTCCCGTCGCGGTAGCTTTGAAGTTTCCCTACCTGGGCGGGTCGGAACCGGAACGTGTAGCCATAGTAGGGGGGTGGGTGGGACAGCCTCAGAATGCGTATTGCTTGATCCTCTGGCGCACAAATCGAGCCACACGTCCGACCAAAGTGTTGCAAAAAATTTATGCGACCTTACGGCGGTGGTCATTCAAAGTTCAATAACAGGCAATTTTGTACTTTAGCTGCCAGTAGGTTGTGCAGAGCTCGATTTAGTTGTGAATAGACGGTGGTCAGCATTCGCTGCATTTTGCTTCTATTTACCGACATACCAACAACAGTTGCAGTGGAGTTCATGCATCCTAAATAGTGTTATGCCAGTATGTAGGCGGGTCCCTTGCTTTCACGTCTGCCAGTTGTTTACGGTAAATCAATTACTTTGGACGAGCTGCGATGTCAGGGTCTTTAGCCTTTTTTCTTATCGGGAAAATAAGGCCGACCTCTCACCTTTGAGTAGATCGACGAAAACGCTGAGGCCTCGCACTGCTTTCGGCATTAGATGGGCAGATTTCCCCCGATAGAACGAAGACATTCCCTCAAACTACGCAAATCCCATCCTCAAAGGGCAATTCGCCTTTTCCATCGGAATATATTGCCCGTACCGTTTGATTACCAGACGACTGCTAGAAATTGTAGTACAAGACAAAGGAAAGTGAACAGATAGTGTCTGAACGGCGTTACTCCTACATTTCAAACAAAAGTATCACTGCATGGACAAGGCTGAAGACCTTACTGATAGTTTCATATAGCGTCTCCGACCTCTGTAAATGAATATTCGACTGAACTGCCGTACATCATGCTAAAAGCTCGAGTCCAGAGATGCATCCTTTACATTCTTCAAAATTCCTTAACCCGGAAGCCGAATCGTAAGTTTTGGCCTTACTGTCTGTTTTCGCGTCCTCACAAAGGTGTTCTTAACGTTTAGCCGAGAACGCATTCATCTGTGTTCGCGTAGTCAAAACTGAGTGTCTCTAAAGGTCGGGACCAGCGTCCTTTAAGGGCGATTCTTGGTACCTACGGAACTTTAGTGTTTTCGGACGGTGACAACCGAGATAGCAACTTATGAACCCGTTAGCGAAGTAATCTAGTGGTAGTCTACCGTCTCGTACCGAACAGAACCTTGAAATACCTAACTCTGCCCTCAGTAGGACATAAAATCAGGCAGGCGGAGCAGTGTGGCCCTCCAGTACGACCGTGTCCTCTCTCTAGCCGTATGAGAATATAGAAAAACGTCGTTGGTCAGTGGTTATATCCAATTTAATCATCCCATCCCCAGCCCAATCAACTCCCCACCCACGATCATGACCACCACCAGAGACCCCACAGTGGAAACCGACTTAATATCCCCGAACCTACCCCGCCCACACTGCCAGCACACATTCACCTCACGCAGCGGCCTAGTCGGTCACTTGCGAATCCATCGCACAGACACTGACGAACCACTGCCTGGAGCACAAACATTCAGCCGACGCCATTTCCCCAACTGCCCTCATTGTTCCCGCACATCCAGCCATCGCATGGGCCTATTCGGCCACATGCGCCTCCATGAAAACCTGTGGTAAATCACCGCTGACACGAGCACACTACAACACATTCCTCTACTAGCATGGTTACCACACCTGAATTTCTCCAACATCCCACATCATTGCCACCAGTATGTTATTACGGAAAATCGCAAGGGAGACTGGAATGGCCATTTCTGGCTTACTGGCCGTCGTCAACCGATCATACCCAACCCCAAAGTGTGGAACACCCGAGGCTCGAACTCGCGACCTGTTAGTCAGAAGTCCACGCCTCTAACCACTCGGCTACGAGCCCGTTGTCCCGTCGGTTTTGATCAGGAATATACAATGGTTGGGAGGCGCTCACCGATCGTTCTTACGGAACTCACAATGCTACCCCTCGCGTAAGTGGGAAGTGTGCCCTTCAACTCCTTTCTCCATGTAGCCCGTCTGATATATGGGAGATACAACAAGTCTACCCGTTTGCGTTAAACCCTGGTGTGGGCGCATGGGGAGCAGGTCATGTGTGTGACCCGCGCAGGCGAGTCGTGTTCAGCCCTGTCCCTCACTTCTTCCAATCTCAGCATCGGTTTAGGCTGCCGGATTGGACAATGGATTGGTGCCTGGGAGTGAGAAGAGAGGGTGAGATCGACAGCACTAGCTCATATCTCTCAGTCTACATTAGATGATCAAACTCATGAAATGTCGGGGTCGAAATCTGAGCGAGAAGTCTGTCATGCATTTGGTGTTGGTATTTGCGTTTATTAAAATAATCTGAGATGCAAAAAGCCACTTACTGAAGAGAGGTCCACTTCAACTCAGTTTTATTAAATGAAAACGGGCCAATTTTGGACGAAATCTGACCTTTCTTGATATCCAGATAATTTCCTACGCTATGGAAGTTTGCGGATTAAAATTGCACGTTTGTATGCATTTTGCTCTAAACGAAGATTAATATAAACAGGAAAAGTACGAAATATATCCCATCCGAAAGCGGGGATTCTTTTTGGTTTTCATGAAAATCAGGTGAGGGCCGGCTTCAGAACTTGCATTGTTTTCAAGAAAAAACGCCAAAATCAGCTTATAAAATATCTTTTTTGTAAATTTGTGACGTTTCCTGTCATAAAATTTGGACAGTGGCCAGTCTGGCGGTGGACTGCGGACATAATCAACCGCGAGGCGTTCGTCAACATTGTGAAGGATGGTTTCGATTACAACGAAATCCCCCGACGCTGACTGGATACCATAATTTTACACGACAATGCTCCTGTCCATCCTTCTAAAGAAGTATGAATCTACTAACGCTTTTGACCGTAATCTGACTTTTTAGGCAACAGTCAGCCTCTCCGCACATGGCCTCCAGTCGATTTTCAGCCCTGCCACCAGCCCGAATCTCAATCCCATCGAAAATCTTTTCGCGTTTACCAAAAGACATTGGCATTCGAGGGAATAAAAGACTGCCCATACCAGAAAAACTTGATTTCGGAATAGACAATCACACTGAACAATCCACCATAGACAACACGGCCAACTTCATGTCTGAAAGACTTTCTGTTGTGATTAATGCGAATGGACAATCAGTCATGTAATGATATTTTGTATTCGTTATTATTTTTCATTATTTTTACAATTTCGTGCGTCCCCCCTCATTAAACATCCTTATAGTTAGCCCTATTTAAGCGATTTGTGATATAGTCATTTTCTAAAATTTTAGTTTTTCTTGAAAATCAGTGATTTTCACGTTAGTAAATATTAATTTACAATCCCAACTATGCCTTATTTTTTAAGAACAATCGTTTTTCA